TACTGAGCCCCCCGCTGCGGGACCGGGGGGGCCGAGGGGTCAGGGGGGCACCGGGGGGCACCAAGGGGGCACGGGGAACCGGGGGGGGGGGTACCGGGAACGAGGGGAAACCGGGGCAGGGCAGGGACCCCCGCGCTCGGATGTGCTCGGGCATCACACACACGTACAGGAGGTTACTGAGCCCCCGTTGTGGGATGGAGGGGGGCTCGGGGGGGTTCAGGGGGGCTCCGGGCATGGGGGGGGTGTGTGAGGGCGCGGGGGGCCATCAGGGGGACAGGGGGTACGAGGAAAGGGAGGAGCACCAGGGTTGGACCGAGGCAGAGGAGGCTTGGCTGGGACACCGGGTAGGAAACAGGGACACCGGGCTGGGGGCAACAGGGAGAGGGACCGGGACACTGGTTCGGGGGGCACCGCGGGCTGGGGTGCCAGTTGGGCGGGGAAACGGGCACTGGGAGAGAGATGGGAGTGGATGGTCCAGGGGCGAACTGGGGGCAGCTGGGGCACAGCGGGAGCGGGACTGGGATACCGGCTGGGGGGGGCAACTGGGGGGTACTGGGAGGGAGACGGGGGGACTGGTCGGGGGGGCCAACTGGGAGACACCGAGAAGGGAACCGGGAACCAGTCAGGTGGGTAACGGTAAACACCGGGGAACAATGGGCGGCGGAGGGGGGCACCGGTCAGGGGGGCAACCGGGAGGCACTGGGGGCGGGACAGGGACACCAGTGCTGGGGGCAACTGGGGCACACTGGGCGGGGGCCCGAACCCGGGACGAGACCACCGCCGAGGGGGTGGGGGGGGCGCATCTCCCCGGTTCCGCTTTGTACCTGACCGGCTCGATCCCGAACTCTTCCGCCTTGATGAGCTTCCAGGAGCCGGCGAGGAACTCCCGGCACCAGGCGTAGGCCTGCAGGCGGGTGGCGTCGGGGACAACCCCGTCCTCGTTCTCGGTCCCCCGGCCCCCCTTGGCCGCCATGGTCGCCCCCGCCCTGTCCCGCTGGGCCGAGGGGCGGTGGCAGCGGGGGGGGCGGGGCAAGAGCTGCCTTCTGGCCAGTAGCAACGCGTCACCTGAGATTGACGGTTCATCCAGCCAATAAACTCTCGGCTGGGGAGCCCATATAATCCGCGCAGCCAATGGGCGCGCTCGGCGGGATGCGGCGGAACGTGGAGGTGAAGGCGCGGGTGCGGGCGCTGGCGGAAGCGCGCGGGGCGGCCGAGCGGCTGCTGCGGGGGGGCACGGGTGAGCTGTGCCCAGGTGAGCTGTGCCCAGGTGAGCTGTGCCCGGCTGACGGGCACGCCCAGGGCACAGGTGAGGGGCACACCCAGGGCACAGGTCAGGGGCAGCTGCTCGTCCAGGCCGACACGTTCTTCCGCGTCCCGCGGGGGCGGCTCAAGCTGCGGCGGACACAGGTAAAGGGTGGGGTGAGGGAGGGGCTTGGGGGGGGTGAGGGAGGGCTGGGCTTGATCCTACCCCTGCCCCTACCTGGCCCTGACCCTGCACGACCCTGTCCCTGCTTGCCCCTCGTCCTACCCGACCCTGTCCCTGCTCGATGCCCCACCTGGCTCTGTCCCTGCCCCTGCCCCCACCCGTCCCTTCTCCCACCTGTCCCCACCCCTGCCTGCCCCTGCCCCTGCCCCTGACCTGAGTGACACTGACCCTGCCTGACCCTGCTCCTACCTGGCCCTGACTCTGTGTGTGTCACTCTGGCCCTGGCCCTGTCCCTACCTAGCCCTGTCCCTATCCATCCCTTACCTTTCCCTGACCCTGAATATGTGACCCTGACCCTGTGACTATAATCCTGACCCTTTCCCTGCCCACTCGTGCCCCTACCTGACTCTGACCCTGCCTGACCCTGTTTTTACCTGAGTCTGCCCTTACCTGTCCCTGATCCTGTCCTTAACCCTGCCTGTTTGCCCCTGACCCCACCTGCCCCTGCCCCTATGCCTGTCCCCTGCCTGTCCCTGCATGTGACCCTGTCCCTGCCTTTCCCTGTGTGTCCCCATCCCAGGATGGCCAGGGACAGCTGATCTTCTACGAGCGCCCCGACACCGCTGGCCCCAAACTGTCCAGCTTCACCATCACCCCCACGGCCGACCCCGATGGGCTGGAGGTGAGAGAGGGGTGGGGGCCCTGTGGGACAGCACCCAGGGGTGCCACCTGCTCCCCCTGCCCTGGGGCACCCACGGCATAGGGGCTTCAGGGTGTCCTGGGCACTGTGAGGTGTCTGGCAGTGTGGGGTGTCCTGGGTGCTGGGTGGGGTGGCTGGTGATCTGGGGTGCCCTGGGCCCTGAGGGGTGGCTGGTGACATGGGATGTCCAGTGGTGTGGATGCCCTGGGTGCTGTGTGGGGTGTCTGGTGATCTGGGGTGCCCTGGGCACTGAGGAGTGGCTGGTGACATGAGATGGTTGGTGGTCTGGGGTGTCTTGGTGCTGTGGGGTGGCTGGTGACATGGGATGTCTGGTGCTGTGGGGTGCCCTGGGTGCTGTGTGGGGTGGCTGGTGACATGGGATGTCTGGTGCTGTGGGGTGCCCTGGGTGCTGTGTGGGGTGTCTGGTGACACAGGGTGCCTGGTGCTGTGGGGTGCCCCGGTAGCCCAGGGTACCTGGCACAGGCCCAGCTCCCCCCTGGCCCTCAGGCAGTGCTGGCACAGGCGCTGGGCGTGCTGGGCATCGTGAGGAAGGAGCGGCTCCTCTACCTCGTGGGGCAGACCCGGGTTCACCTGGACCGTGTGGAGGGGCTGGGCGACTTCCTGGAGCTGGAGGTGAGGGGCTGGGCCCGGGGGGCTCTGCGGGGGGCACAGGGCACCCCGGTGTGCCCCGGGCTCACCCCCTGCCCACAGGTGGTGCTGAGGCAGGAGCAGAGCGTGCAGGACGGGGAGCGCGTGGCCCGGGAGCTGCTGCGGGCACTGGGGGTCGGGGAGCACGACCTGATCTCGGGGGCTTACCTGGACCTGCTCCTGGCCAAGGGGCAGCCGGGTACGGGGGCAGAGCCCTCCCACTGCCACCCCCCGGCTGGGCAGGGACAGCAGAGCTGAGAGCAGCAGGGACACGGCTGTGCCACGGGCACCCTGTGCCCACCCCACAGGCATCCTGTACCCCCCTATGGGCACCCTGTACCCACCCCAGACACCCTGTGCCCACCCCAGACATCCTGTACACCCCTATGGGCACCCTGTACCCACCCTACAGACATCCTGTACCTGCCCTACAGACATCCTGCACCCACCCCAGACATCCTGTGCCCACTCTATGGACACCCTGTAACCCCCCATGGGAACCCTGTACCCCTCCCCATGGACACCCCCTGCCCCGTACCCACCCCATGGGCACTCTCTACCCTCCCACAGACACCCCCTGCCCCGTGCCCACCCTACAGATGCCCTGTGCCCACCCCATGGACACCCAGTACTCCTCCCCTGACACCCCTTGCCCCATACTCACCCTACAGACATCCTGTACCCCTGCAGACACCCCGTGCCCACCCCATGGACACCCTGTACCCCCCCTGTGCCACCCCCTCCCTTGGCTGCTCAATAAACTCTGGGACCATCCCTGCCTGTTCCTGGCTCTGGATGCTCCGGGGACACCAGTGCCCAGCTCAGGGCACCCAGGGCTGCCTCTGGCACCTCCTGTGCCAGCAGAGACGGGGGCAGCCCTGGGGGGCTCCCGTGGGGGGCTGGAGAGGAGGGGGTGGGCAGAGCTCAGCCCTGAGCCCGGATTATGTCCGGCACCAGCCGGAGCCACGGGATGTGCCGGGAGCGGAGCCCAGCGGGGCAGGGGGGGCTGGGAGGCGGCAGATGGGTCAGAGGGGGGCTGGGGGGGCTGGAGGCATCTGTGCTGCTGTGCCAGCCTGAGCCTCAGCCGAGCTGGGGGGGCTGGGGGGTGGCTGGGCTGAGCCATTCCGGGGGGCTCAGCCCCACTGTGGAACCACGGAGTTGTTTGGGTTGGAAAAGCCCTCTGAGCCCGTCGAGTCCAACCATCCCCAGCTCTGCCAAGGCCACCCCTGACCCACGTCCCCAAGTGCCACATCCACAGGGCTTGGAAATCCCTCCAGGGATGGGGACTCCCCCCTGCCCTGGGCAGCTGTGCCAGGGCTGGACAGCCCTTTCCAGAAGGAATTTTTCCAAATTTCCTGAATGTTCTTCTGTACTTCTGGTTGCACTGGAGAGGCCCCCCTGGAATCCCGGGGGCAGTTCTGGGCCCTCAGCCAGGAGAGACCTGGAGGGGCTGGAGCGTGTGCAGGGAAGGGAAGGGAGCTGGGAAGGGTCTGGAGCAGCAGGAGGGGCTGAGGGAGCTGGGGGGGCTCAGCCTGGAGCAAAGGAGGCTCAGGGGGGACCTTCTGGCTCTGCAAGTCCCTGCCAGGAGGGGGGAGCCGGGGGGGGTCGGGTTCTGCTGCCAGGGAACAAGGGCCAGGCCAAGGGGAAACGGCCTCAGGCTGGGCCAGGGGAGGGTCAGGTTGGGGCTGAGGAGGAATTTGTTGCTGGAAAGGGTGGGGAGGCCTTGGCAGGGGCTGCCCAGGGAGGTTTGGAGTGCCCAGCCCTGGAGGTGTCCCAGGAAGGCCTGGCCGTGGCACTCAGTGCTCTGGGCTGGGGGACAAGATGGGGATGGGGCACAGGGGGGATCCATGGGCTGGGAGGGCTTTTCCAACCTCAGGGATTCTGTTTCAAAATTCTGATCTCAGAATTGTCTCAGGTTCTTTAATCAGCTCAAAAAAACAACCAAAAAGGCTGCCAAAGGTTATGGAATCACAGAACATCCAGAGTTGGACCCACAAAGAACATCGAGTCCAATTTAGCCTTTAAAATGTTTTAATTCACTTGTAGTTGGGGGGGGGGGATTTTGTGACAGTGACAAAACCACATTTTCTACGTGAGTTTTTGAGTTTATCCCTCGTGTTGGGAAGATCCTGCTCGGTCTCTAAGGAGTGTTTCTCCCCGGTGGGAGCTCCTGGAACCCAAACATCCCGGCTGGATTGGAGCCATGTGCTGCTGTTCATCCCACCCCTCCCCAAACCCCGAAGGACTGAAGACTGGAAATGTGAACGTTGGGATGAATGGGAATTTCGGGGGTGGGAAGAGGCAGGGTCAGTGCCCACCACAGGTGGGGGGCTGGGGGTGCCCTGGAGGCCTCTGTGCCCCCCTGGGCTTTGTGGTGGCACCAAACTGGCCTCGCCCTCATGGGGGTCCTGCTTTGGGGGGGCTGGGGAGGCTCCGAGGGACCCCTCAGCCCCAGGGGCAGCGTGGGGGTCCCATTTCACACCCCCCCCCGTGACCTCCACCCTCTACCTGCCTCGTTGCTCTGTACCCCCAAAGCGGGACCCTCCATGGGGTTCCCTCCCACCCCCTTGCCCGACCCCCTTCCCGCCAGCCCCGGGCACGGGGCAGCGGCCAGTCCCGTGTCAGCACCGCGGACAGCTCCTGCCCCTCTTACCGCCCCCAGAGACCCCCCGAACCTCCCTAGAGACCCTCCGACCCCCTATAGGCCCCCTGTCCCCCTACAGAGCTCTCGACCCCCTATAGAGCCCCGACCCCCCCTGCTCAGCCCTGCTGACAGCTCCGGACCCCCTCCCTGCGTGGCTCCTGTCCCCTCTTACCCCCTCCCAGAGACTCCCTGACACCCCTCTAGGCTTCCGACCCCCTTGTAGACCTCTCGACCCCTCTGTAGAGTTCCTGCCCGCCCCCCAGACCCCCGCCCTGCCTATAGGCACTCTGAACCCCTCCACATCCCCTCCGCGCTCAGCACCGCGGACAGTTCCGCTCCCCCTCCGCACACGGCTCCGGGCCCCTCTTACCGCCCCCACAGACGTCCTGACCCCCTATAGACACCTCTACCCCTTTATAGACCCCCCCTACAGAGCCCTCGACCCCCTATGGGCCCTTGCCCTCCCTACAGACCCCTTGTCCCCCTATGCATCCCCTGTCCCCCTGTACAGTGCTCAGCACCTCGGACAGCTCTGCCCCCCCCCCCCCTCCGCGCCCTACAGACCCTCTGACCCACCTATAGACCCCCGGCACCACGAGAGACCCCCCTGACCCCCCCTAGACTCTCCGATCCCCCTACAGACTCTCCTACCCCCCTATAGATCCCCTGCCCCACCCTATACAGCCCCTGCCCTGTCCTACCCCCACACCGCCCCTGCCCCTCCCTGCACAGCCCCCCGAATGTCCCCTATACACCCCCACATGTTCCCATAAGACACCCCCCCCTTATAGAGCCCCCCATACCCTGTGCAGCCTCTCCCTCCTCCCGCCCCCCTGTACAGCCCCAGCTCCCTCCCACCTTCCTGTCCCCCCTCTATACAGTCACCCCCCCTTCCCTCCCTGTACAGCCCCTCCGGCCCCTCCTCAGCACCCCGCCATGCAGCCCCCTGTCCCCCTCACGCTCCATCCCCTCCCTAGAGAGATCCCACACCCCCCCCCCGCTGCTCCCCTCCCTGTATCACCCCCTCCCCTCCTTATGCCACCCCATCCCCTCCCTGTACGTCCCTCCCCCCTCCCATACCCCCCACCCTGCAGTCTCCTCCTTCTCCCCCCTCCAGACACCCCCCCCCGACCAGTACCACCCCACATCCCCTCCTTATCCCATCCCATCCCTTCCCTTCCCTTCCCTATCCCACCCACGTCCCCCCAACCACCCCATCCCCTCCCTGCACATCCCGCCCCCCTCCCACAGCCCACCCAGGCTCCTCCTTCTCTCCACTCCAGACATCTCCCCCCACCAGTGCCATCCCGCATCCTCTCCCTATCCCATCCCTATCCCACCCCCTTTCCATCATTCCCATAACTCCCCCATCCCCTCCCTGCACATCCTCCCCCCCCGCGCCCCCCGACTCCTCCTTCTCTCCTCTCCAGACACCTCCACTCCAGCACCACCCCCCGTCCCTTCCCCATCCCACTCCCCATCCCCTCCCTGTACATCCCGCCGCCCGCCCAGAGCCCCCTCAGCCCACCCAGACTCCTCCTCCTCCCCTCCAGACCCCCCTCCCCGCCCGGGCCACCCCCCTCTCCTCCCTATACCGCCCCTCCCCTCCTTACACCACCCAAGCCCTCCCTGTACATCGCGCCCCCTCCCACTCCCCCCGCGCCCCCAGACTCCTCCCTCCCTCCCTTCCCGACGCCCCTGCGCTCCAGCACCACCCCCATTCCCCCCATCCCGCCCCCTCCCCTCCCTAGAGCGCCCCCCTCTCCATCCCGCCCCCCCCCGTACCCCACCCACCCCCCACTCCCCCCGCCCGCTGCCCCCGCCCCTCCCGGCTCCTCCTTCCCCCCCATTCCCGCAGCTCCTCCCGTCACTCCCCCCCATTCCCGCAGCTCCTCCTCCCTCTCCCCCAGCCCCCCCCCTCCCCCGGCTCCTCCCGCCGCTCCCCCCGTGTTTCCCGCAGCTCCTCCCGCCGCTCCCCCCGTGTTCCCGCAGCTCCTCCCGCGGCCCCCCCGCTCCCGCAGCTCCGCAGTCCGGCGCAGCCCCGGCCGGAGAAAATGGCGGATCGCGCCGAGATGTTCTCGCTCTCCACCTTCCACTCGCTCTCCCCGCCCGGCTGCAGGTGAGCGGCGTTTTTGGGGGTGCGGGATTGGGGGTGGCGGTGTGGGGGGGTGCGGGATTCCTGGCGGGCGCGGGATGCGGCGGGCGCGGGATGCGGGGTCGCCCTGCCCTTCCCCTCCCGCTGCACCGCCCTTGGACCGGGCCCGCACCCCCGGCCCCCCCTCGGGCCCCCCCGCCCGTTCACCTTGGGATGCGGGGCCGGGGGGCCGCATCCCGCCCCCCCCGCGCGGCCCTTCCCGGGATTAACGGCGCAGCCGCCGCCGGCCGCATCCATCCATCCTTCCATCCATCCATCCTTCTATCCATTCATCCTTCCATCCATCCATCCATCCCCCGGAGCATCCCCGGCCGCTCCCTGCGCGCGGGGGCCGCCAGAGCTCGGGGGGTCCCCTCTGTCCCCTTCCCCCCCCCGCCGCGGGTCAGAGCCCCCCCCCCGGCCTCTGGGCCCCCCCCGGGGCCGCCGCATCCCGGGGCCGCTGCGGGAGGAGCCGCCGCCGCCGCCTCTTTGTCTCTCCCGAGGCGCCGCAGCGGCCCCGGGATGGGGCTGGGGACGAGGGTGGGAATGGGAATGGGGGGGCCGGTGCCGGGAGCGGGGGGCGCGCTGGGCCGGTGGGCGCGGGGGCTCAGAACCCCCGAGGCGCTCCCGGGGTCGAGGCGGGGCGATGCTGGTGGGTACCCGCAGCCGAGACCCCCTGGAGCCGCGCCGGGGTCCCGGGATCGGTCACCTTCCCGCAGGGCTCCCGGGGGTCCCGGGGGGGGGGACGCGGCCGGGCCCGCCCCGCGCCTGACCTTTGCGGGACCCTCCGGGAGGGGTGCGGGGTGCGGGGCCGGGGGTCGGGGCCGGGCCAGGCTGGCGCAGTGCGGGGCCTTGGCGCCCGGCAGCGGGATGGGGAAGGGCAGGAGGCAGCGGCGAGGGGCAGCTGGAGGGGCCCTGGGGATGCGGGAGCTGCGGGGCAGCGAGCCGGGGGCGGTGGGGCTGCGGGGTGTGCCCTTGGCTGGTTGTGGCCTGCGCTGGGCAGGACGCGCGGCCGCTTCCCGGGGGGGTCCCCTTCCCTGGGACGTGTCCTTCCCCGGGCAGCCCTGTCCCCGTTCCTGAGCATCTCCTTCACCGACCATCCCCTTCTCCCGGATGTCCCCTTCCCTCGGCATCCCCTCAGCCGAGATGTCCCCTTTCCTGAGCGTCCCCTTTCCTGAGCATCCCGTCTCCCGAGTGTCCCCTTTCCTGAGATTCCCTTCCCCGGGCTCTCCCCTTCCCTGGCCGCTGCGCAGCAGGACCCCAGGGTGTCCCTGCCCGCGGTGGCGCAGGGAGGGGAGGACGCGGCTTTGCCGTGGCTGCTCGGGCTGGCCCAGGGCCCGGGGGGCAGGCGGGGACCCCGCAGCCCGGCCCGGCCCCGGCGGGAGGAGGCAGCCCGGGGAGCGGGCGCTGTGTCCCGGGGCCAGCCCGAGAACCGGGGCGAACCTCTGGGGATGCCGCGGCGGCGGCTTCTCCCGGGGCTCCCAGAGCGTCCCGAGCCCCCGGCAGGGCCCGCGGGGCCATCGCAGGCACCCGAACCCGGCCGTGCCCTTCCCGAGGAGCCCTGGGAGGGGGTGCCCAGCCCAGCTCGGTGGGGCCGCTGGGGTGGGATCTCCCGGCTGGAGAGGGAGCGGCCGAGGTGGCGGGAATGCTCGGCGTGGGAATGGCCCGGTGCGGGAATGCTCACTGTGGGAATGTCGCGGTGCACACGCAGCAGGGACTGGGGAGGGCTCCCACCTCCCGCTCGGGGGTGGCCGCAGGTCGGGCCATGGGAGCCCCCCGTGCCGGTCAGGACCCCCAGGTCACCAGTTTGGGGTGGCCCCGGGGTCAGCCCCGACCTCCCCGTGGCTCTTCCCCGGCCTTGGAGTGGCGGCCGTGGAGGGGGTGGGGGGCACGTCTGCTGTCGGGATCAGTGCCCGCCGTGTGGGGGCCAGGGCAGAACCCACGCCCGGCGCAGTGTCCGGGCAGCCGGGCTGGGAACGATGAGGAAATTCCGCCTGCCCGTGGCCTGTGCCGCGCCCCCGGGCAGCCCGGCCCTGGCGGCGCCCGTGCCCGCGCCGCTGTGCCCCCGCCCCGTCCCTGCGTGGCCCGGGGGTGGGAGACATTGGGTGCCCTTTGGGGTCCCAGTCCAGCCCCCGCTCCCCCCCAGCCCATCCCAGCTCAGGATGTGCCACAGCAGTGCCGGTGGGGCAGGTGGGATGGTGGGTCCCTGAGTGTTCCCGCTGCTTCTGGCCCCTCCCGACCCCCCCTCCATGTGCAGGGCTGGGTGAGCCCCCCCTTCCTGAGCCTCTGCCTCGGCTCTGCTCCAGCTCCGGCCCCTCAGTCTGGTGCTCCCCCCCGGCAGGTTGGCAGGTTCCATCCTCGTGGTTCCATCCCACTGTGTCGTTCCCATCCCACCGTGGCAGCCCCATCCCACCCCAGTGTTCCCATCCTGCCATGCCCACCCCATCCCACCGTGGCAGCCCCATCCCACCCCAGTGTCCCCATCCTGCCGTGCCCACCCCATCCCACCATGGCAGCCCCATCCCACCCCAGTGTCCCCACTCCACTGTGCCATTCCCATGCCATGCCAGCCTCAGGTGCGTGACCCCCCCAGCCAGGAGGGGGTTGTTGCCCAGTGAGGAGGGTCCAGGGGTGCAGGACCAGAGCTTGGCCAGGGGTCTGCAGGCCGGGTCTCCATCCTAGGAGGACTCATGGCCCCGCTGTCACTGTCCCCCCTGGATGGCCAAAGGATCACCCACAAGGCCCCTGTTCACCTCCAGAGAGGGCAGAGAACCCCAGGATTCTTCCCCCGCCCTGCTGTCTGCAGGAGAGCAGCCCTGGCTATTCCGTGGGGTTGGGGAGAAGGGCTCTGCACCCCAGCACCCTGAGGCTCTGCTCCCCAATGGGCTCTGCACCCCAACACCCCAGGGCTCTGCTCCCCAACAGATTTTGCTCCCTGGCACCCTTGGGCTCTGCTCTCTGACGGGCTGTGCCCTAATGTCCTGGGTCTCTGTGCCCCAAAGGGCTCTGCACCCTGATACCTCGGGGCTCTGCTCCCTGATACCCCAACAGGCTTTGTATCCCAAAGGGCTCTGCTTCCCAACACCCTGGAGCTCAGCATTCCAAAGGGCTCTGCTCCCTGACACCCCGGAGCTCAGCATTCCAAAGGGCTCTGCTCCCTGACACCCCAGGGCTCCACACCCCGACGGGCTCTGCTCCCTGACACCCTGGGACTCCCTGACACCCTGGGACTCCCTGACACCCCAAAGGGCTCTGCACCCCAAGACCCCAAAGGGCTCTGCACCCTGACACCCCAGTGCTCTGTGCCCCACAGCCCCCCGGGCCCCCCAGTCCTGGCCGTGCCCCAGGGTCCAGCCCAGCCCTGCAGCCCCAGCCCGTGGTGTCGGGCCTGGTGCCATCCCTGCTGTTTTTGCCCCAAATCTGTGCGGATTGGGCGCTCCGTGCCCTACTTCTGGGAATTATGTGATTAGGGGAATCTTTCTCCCGGTGAATTGGAAGCAGGCGCCCGGCCCCGTGCCGGGTGAGGGGCTGCAGGAGGGGACTTCGGGGGGGAAGCAGGAGGGGGCACAGCCCAGACCCCCCATGTAGGGGTCTGATCCTGCTGTCGGCCACATTCCAGGGCTGAGCCTCCAGACCTGTCCCCTCGGGAGGTGCCCACCTGCCCTGGTGCTGCCACATACCCATGGGAATGGGCTGGGGGTCTCTGGGTGTCCCCAACCCCCTGGGGGTTGGCAGAGGGTCCCATTGGCACCTTGGCACTGCCACACACCCATGGGACCGAGCTTGGGGCCCCTGTGTGTCCCCACCCAGAGGGTCCCACCTCCCACCTCGCAGAGCCCCCCCACAAATGCCTGGTTTCTGTTTTCCAGCACCAAATCCTGCTGGGAATCCTCTTCTTTTCCCTTCGATTCCCGCAGAAGCCGCTGGTTTCCATGACACCCCCATTCCCGACGGAAGGCGTGTGGGGGTCTCTCGGGCTTCCCGTCCCTTGGGGTGTCAGAGCCCGGATCCCCCCTTGATGTGCCCGGCCTTGCTGTGGGTTAACCCCCCAGTAACCCCCCAGTGACCCCCAGTAAAGCCCCCGGCTGGAGAACAGCCCCTCCCAGCACAGGGCACCCCAATGCCCTGGGGTGGGCACTGTCCCCTCCCTGGCTCAGCTCCAGCCTCTGCCCTGGGCTGGCTCCAGGGATTGTACCGGGCAGGGAATTTGGGACGTGTGGTGGCCTTGGCACCTCTGCCCAGCTGGGGTCAACGTGGGTGTGTGGTGACAGGGGGATGGTGGCACATCCCTGTGCTGCTGCCATCCCAGTGGTCCCATGCTGGCACCCAGGAGTGACAGGGGGATGGTGGCATGTGCCTGCAGTGCTGCCAGCCCGGCGTGGATGGCTGGGCAGGGAATCTGGGACATGTGGTGGCCTTGGCACCTCTGCCCAGCTGAAGGCCACTCTGGCCATGTGGTGATGGAGTTATGGTGCCATGTCCTTGTGGTTATCCCGTGCTGGCACCCAGGGGTCACAGGGTTAGGGTGCCATGTCCTTGTGGTTATCCCATGCTGGTACCCAGGGGTGATGGGGTTGTGGTACCATGTCCCTGTGGCTGTGCCGTGTCCCTGTGGCTGTCCCGTGCTGGCACCCAGGGGTGATGTGGTTGTGGTGCCATGTGCCTGCAGTTCTGCTGTCCTGGTGCTCCTGTTCCAGAGCCTGGGGTGACAGGGTTATGGTGCCATGTGCCTGCAGTGCTGCCATCCCAGTGTGGATGGCTGGGCAGGGAATTTGGGACATGTGATGGCCTCAGCACCTCTGCCCAGCTGAGGGCCCCCGTGCCGGGTGGTGGCAGGGTTTGGTGGCATGTCCCTGTGGTGCTGCTGTGCCAGTGCCCGGGAGTGACAGGGTTATGGTGGCACGTGCCTGTGGTGCTTCTGTCCCCGTGCTCCTATGCTGGCACCCAGGAGTGACAGGGTGCTGGTGGCATGTCCCTGTGGTGATACCATCCTGGTGCTCCTGTGCTGGCACCCAGGGGTGACGGGGTTTTGGTGGCATGTCCCTGTGGTGCTGGCACCCAGGGGTGACGGGGTTATGGTGGCATGTCCTTGTGGTGCTGGTACCCAGGGGTGATGAGGTTATGGTGGCATGTCCCTGTGGTGCTGGTACCCAGGGGTGATGGGGTTATGGTGGCATGTCCCTGTGGTGCTGGTACCCAGGGGTGATGGGGTTATGGTGGCATGTCCCCGTGGTGCTCCTGTGCTGGCATCCAGGGCTGAGAGGGCTGTGGTGGCGTCTCCCCGTGGTTTGTCCGGTGCCAGTGCTCCCGTGCCAGGGGTGCCAGCAATACAATGGATGGATGTCCCTGCGGTGCCACTCGGCTCTCAGGGCCATGGGGGCACAGGTGGCCTGTCCCTGAGGTCCGTCACACCCCCCCCCTCCATGTTCCCAGGCCCCCCCAGGACATCAGCCTGGAGGAGTTTGACGATGAGGACCTGTCAGAGATCACGGACGACTGTGGCATCGGCCTCAACTATGACTCGGACCACTATGAGAAGGTGCAGGACCCCCCCTGGGGTCTGGGGGGGGCACTGGCCTGGCACAGCTCCCCCCACAGCAGGGAGGAGTGGCTCACACTTGCCCAGCTCGGCCTGGCTGGGTGCTGGTGCCAGAGGGGGCCAGGCAGGGACTGGCAGAGCTGGGGTGTCCCTGGTCCCCTCTTGGGGCCCTTGGGGCACTACCAACCCTGCCACGGTGGGGATGGTCACCCCGGGGTGGGCACAGGGCTGTGGCGAGCGCAGGGCTCTGTCCTGTGCCCCCTAACCCGGTGCCCCCTCCCCAGGACTGCCTGGTGCTGGACCGCGGGGAGCAGCCCCACCCCGTCTGCACCTTCCAGGACGACTTCCAGGAGTTCGAGATGATCGACGACAACGAGGAGGAGGAGGAGGAGGAAGAGGAGGAGGAGGAGGGCAACGATCTGGAAGCTCCACCGTCCCCTTCGGCCTCACCCATCCCCTCGCCTGCCCTGGAGGAGACGCAGAAGCACCGACCCACCACGCTCAACCTGACGGCCCCGGGCACCCAGGTGAGGAGGGGGGTGGCCCGGAGGGGTGTCCCCACCGAGGGGTCTTTGCCCCCTGTGTGCCCACGGGGGCTCCGTGGGTGCCTGTTCACGCCGTGTCCCCCCTGTTCCCCCCCGGCGCTGGACTCGGGGGCTCCCCCACGATGTGGGGGGGGGTCCCCGCAGGGGTGTCCCCGTGTCCCCGCGCACGCGTGTGCGGTGCCAGCCCCGAGCCACCACCGCAGTGTGTGGGAAGCCGCGTGCGGAGCGGCTCCATCCGGCTGCATCCGGCTGCGTTGCCATGGAGCCGGGGGCTCTCGGGATTCTCGACACCCCCCCCCCCCCATCCCGGGAGGGCACCGCGCGCTGCCGGGCTGGGAGGGGGCTCTCGAGGGTGAGGGTCACCGGAGGGTGACAAACCCCAGGGGTCCCTCTCGGCCTTGTCCCTCTGTGCCCCGGCGGCTGCACCCGCAAAGCTGGATCCCACTGGCAAAGCCAGATCCCGCTGGCAAAGCCAGATCCCGCTGGCCACCCCGTTCCATCGTCCCTCGGGGGGAGGGATGAGTGGAGCCCCTGGCTCTGACCGGGTCCGACCCAGCAGTGTCAGTAATCCCCGTGCCCTGTCCCCCCAGCACCCATCCCCCCTGCACCCATCCCCTGTACCCCCAGTACCTGTTCCTGTCCCTCCCAGCACCCATCCTGTCTCCCCATTCCAGATTGATCCAGCACCCATCTTCATCCTCTCCAGCGCCCATTCCTGTCCCCCCAGCACCTGTCCCCATCCTCCCCATTCCTGTCCCTGTCCCCCCTCACCCATCCCTGTCCCCCCCACACCCATTCCCACCCCGCGTCCCTGTCCCCCCCACACCCATCCCTGTCACCCCACACCCCTCCGGCCCCCCCGGCTCCCATTGCCGAGGCAGTGCCCCAGCCCCTCCCTCTCCCGCGGGGGTTCGTGCCCGGTGGCACACGGCGCCGGCCCCGCTCCCTAATCCCGGCTCGGTGGGATTAGCGCTGCCCGCGCTTCCCGCCGGGACTAATCCGCAGCTGCGGCCACGCCGGCGGGACAGCCCCGGGACCCCTGCGGCTCCGGCCAGCCCGGTGGCTCGGGCCCCACCGCGGGGCCACCGGCTCCGGGGTCCTGCCGGGGGGTCGGGATCTGCTTGTGTGGCCCCGCACGGGGGGTCCCGGGGGTCGGTGCCGGTGCTGGCGCGTCCCCCGTGGGGTCTGTCCCCGGGATGGGCACCGTGCCGTGCGGTGCCGTGCCATCCCTCGGCCCTGGCGCGCGTGTGGCCGGGCGGGGGATCCAGGGACGCCCTAATCCGGATAAACCCCCGGCACGTGGCGCGGGGGCTGCCAGGCCGGTGGGAGCTCCGAGGGGCACCCCTGGGCCCGCCCCGGCCCGGTACCGCCCGTGTCCCGTTGTCGGGTCCCCAAACGCCCCCTACACCCCCCTCCCCCGGGTCTCACCCGCCCACCCACCTTGGCTCTGCTCTTCCCGCAGGATTCCCTGAACAACAACGGCAGCTTCCCACCGCCCGCTCACCGCACGACCTGGCAGGACGCCCTCCTCCACTCCTCCTCCTCCTCCTCTTCCTCACACACCGGTGAGCGCGGGGCGGGAACGGCCACGGGGTCCCGCCCCGCCACGGGGCCGGGGTGGTCCCGCAGCCCCCCGGGGTGACACGGGCTCTGCCTTCCCGCAGGACACTCGTCTCCCCACGCCTGCATCCTGGACGGACCCTGCCTGGAGAGCCCGCGGGGCCCCGGGGGGGCCCCCCCCTCGCTGCCGCCCTCCCCCTTGGACTCGCAAGGCAACAGCCCCGAGTCCCTGGCACATGGTAACCCATCGCCCCCGAGTGCCGGGCAAGATTTTAACATGAACCTCATCTCCGCAGCGCTCCGAGCTCCGCTGTCCCCGCCGCGCCCCCGCCAGCCACCCCCTCAACCGTGTCTCTCTCCAACAGGGCCCGCGGCTCCCCCCGGCCCCCCCGACGCCGGCCCCCCGCCCCCGGCCCCCGCCGCTGCCCCCCGCGCCCCCACGCAGCCCGAGGCGGCCCGGGGGGCCCCCAGCCCGGGGTCCCCCCGCCCGCAGCCCGGCCCCCCGCGGCCCCCCGAGGAGCGGGCGGACGGCGCCCGCGTGTGCCCCCCGGAGCCGCTCAGCTCCGACGGGGAGGGTCCCCGGTCCGGCCGGGCGGCCAGTGTGCGCGGGCACCCCTCGGGCTCCTCGGAGACCACCTCGCCCTCCTCGGACCCCGGCATCGAGGCCGACCTCACCAGCCGCACCGCCAAGCCCTTCCTGCCCGGCGGGCGGCACGGGGAGGACCTGAGCTCGCCCGGCTCCGACTCGGACGTGGAGGGGGAGCTCGAGGCGGCCTTCGCCGGCGGGCGCCTGGTCAGCAACATGATCTCCTCCATCTCGGAGACAGAGCTGGACCTGAGCAGCGACAGCAGCAGCGGCCGCTCCTCCCACCTCACCAACTCCATCGAGGAGGCCAGCTCGCCCGGCTCCGAGGGAGAGCTGGAGCCGGAGCTGGAGGCGCCTGGCCTGATGGGCATCAAGGACTCGCTGCTGCTCGACAAGGGCAAGGAGGAGGAGGAGGAGCCCGCGGAGAGGGGGCCGCCGGAGCGCGGCGTGGTGAGGAGGGAGAGCCTGGCCGAGCTGAAGATGGAGGGGTACTACGACAGCCTGGACCCCGCCGACTGCCCCGCGCCCGAGGGCCAGACCGAGGTCTCCGCCTCCAGCCCCCTGGACCTGAAGATCGACCCGGACCACAGCCTGGAGAGCATCCGCCGCTCCTTCTACCTGCCCGTGGGGCCCAAGCTGATGCCCGAGGCGGACGAGGAGGACAACAGCGAGTACGACTCCGACTCGGAGTCAGAGCCCGACCTGAGCGAGGACTCGGACTCTCCCTGGCTGCTCAGAAACCTGGTCAACAAGATGATATCGGAGGGCTCGTACCCCATCAAGTGCCCGGACGAGTGCTTCCAGAACACCCACTCGCTGTGCGACACCATCTCCCCGGCCTCCGGACCCTGGAAAGCCCGAGATCATGGAGCGAGGCCGGCTGGACGAGGGAGCCCGTTCCCGCCGGGAAAAAAAAAAACTCTACTGCGGGGGCCGGGGGGACGGAGGGCGGGTCTGGCAGCGGCGGTGCAAAGCGCGGCCAATCGGAGAGTTGGTGGAAATGGAGAAGCTGGCGATTGCCCGGAAAGGGGTGCGCCGAGGACGAGCGAGGCCTGGACGCCGCCACGGAGCCGCCGCCGGAGCCGCCGGGCTGAGGAGCCGGGCCCCTTCCTCTTCCTCAGCAACCCCACCAACGACACCATCGCGCCCGTTTTCCCGGGGCGCCCCGTCACCCTCGACAGGCTGGACGCCTCCGAGGTCCTGGCCACCTTCGGCTGCCGTCCCGCGCCGCCGCGCGTCCCGCCACGCGCGTCCCCCGGCGCCGAGCCCGCCGTCACCGGGGACCACCACGGCACCGGGGACCACCACGGCACCGGGGACCATCACAGTGCTGGGGACCAGCGCACCGCCAGCCCCGAAGGCTGGGCCGTCGACAGGGACCTGGACTCGGGGGTCCTGGAAGCCGCCGACATGATCGACGACGTCCGGTTAGTGCCCCCCGACGCCGACCCCGCCACGCTGGACGTCTCCACCGCCAAGACCAACCGCGGCTTCGCCATGGCCTTCGACGAGGACGAGGGGTCCTTCCTGCCCGACTCCTCCTTCCCCACGGCCCCGCGGCGGGGCAGCTTCGGGGGGGAGCTGCCGCCCGTCCCCGGGGCGCCGGAGCCGCCGGCGCTGGACGAGTCGCTGGCCTACGACTCGGTGAAGTACACGCTGGTGGTGGACGAGCACACGCAGCTGGAGCTGGTGAGCCTGCGGCGCTGCACGTCCGTGCTGAGCGACGACAGCGACCTGCTGCGCGCCTGCGACCGCTGCGACATGGACGACGAGGTGGCCTTCGGGGACGGGCTGGTGGCCCCCGACGCGCACAGCTCCTCCGAGGACTCGTCCCCCGAGGCCGACCTCCAGTTCTCCAAGAAGTTCCTCAACGTCTTCGTCAACAGCACCTCGCGCTCCTCCAGTAAGTGGCCGTGGTGTGCCATGGCGTGGCGTGCCATGGCGTGCCGTGCCACTTTGTGCCATCCTGGGCTGCTCTGCACAGCCTTGGTAGACCGACTGCCCTTCCTGCCCCAGCCATCCTGGCTGTGGCACCATCCCTGTGGGCCATGTCATGGGATGTCACAGGAGGTGGGACAGGGGGTCACAGGGATCCTCAACCCTGCTCTGCTGGGTGGGGGGTCAGTGGGACCCCTTGAAGAGGCGATGGCTCCCTGCACCCCAAGGGTCCTGCAGCCCCCAGGGTGGGGGGAGGGCAGTGACGGGTGTGTCCCCCACGCCAGGGGGTGGGAGCCGCCCCTGGGCCTCATGGAAGCCCCCCCCTCCCCAGGCACAGAGTCCTTCGGGCTGTTCTCCTGCATGGTGAACGGGGAGGAGCGGGAGCAGACCCACCGCGCCGTCTTCAGGTGAGCAGCAACCCCAACCACGGGTGCCATGAGGGGGTCTCCAGGACCCTCTGCCTGACCACATCCTCCACCCATCCCTCCACCCATCCCTCCACCCCTCCCTCCATCCCTCCATCCATCCCCCCAGGTTCATCCCCCGCCACGAGGATGAGCTGGAGCTGGACGTGGACGACCCCATCCTGGTGGAGCTGGAGGAGGACGACTACTGGTACCGGGGGTTAACAAGGTTAGGGGGTAGGTACACGGTATAATTTTGAGAGTATACCAAGGGTTTACGGGGTATAGGTATTAGGTATTTTTATACAAGGGAGGGGTTAGGGTTGGTATATTATAGGGGTTATTGGTATATAGGGGTTTGGGGTCTTACCAGGGTGGTACCAGGTTTACGGTATTATTGGGTAGGTCTTTTATTACCCACATGGGTATTACAACATTGCGGGACGGGGGCGAGGGGCGAGAGAGGGGGAGGGGTCCAGAGGGGGGAGGAGGGGCATCCAGGAGGGGAGCGGAGGGAGGCGGCATCGAGGAGAGGAGGGAGAGGGGCATCTTCCCCGCCTTCTACGCCCACGAGGTGGTCGGCCAGGCCCGGGACGCCATCGGTAGGAGCCCGTGGGGTCCCCGGGGACGTGGGGGGGGGGGGGGTCTCTTCGCGGGGGGGGGGTTGGGGGGGGGGTCTTGGGGGTCTCGGGGCACCCTCTCCTCGCCCCCTCTCCTTGCCCAGGCCTGAAGAGGAACCCGTGCTGGGTGGAGCGGTTCAACGTGCAGTTCCTGGGCTCTGTGGAGGTCCCGTATCACCAGGGCAACGGGATCCTCTGTGCCGCCATGCAGAAGGTGAGGGGGGGGCGGCGGGACCCCCGCGCCGCCCGTGGGACCCCCCACCCCTCACACGGCTCCTCGTGCGCCCCCAGATCGCCACCACCAGGAAGCTGACGGTGCATCTGCGCCCCCCGGCCAGCTGTGACCTGGAGGTGACGCTGCAGGGCATCAAACTCATCCTGACCGTCACCGAGTACAGCCGGGACGAGGAGGTGAGGGCAGGGGGCCGGGGGGCACGGGGAGGGGGGCCGGGGGCACGAGGAGGTGGAGGGAGGGGTTTGGGGGGCGATGGGGATGGAGTGTGGGGAGACGAGGAGGGGAGGCGGTTTGGGGGGTGACTGGGAGGTGATGGGAGCAGGGGTGTGGTTTTGGGGGGATGAGGAGGGGATGGGGCTTGGGGGTAATGTGGTGATGGGAGGGGGTTTGAGGGGCGACCAGGAGGTGAGGGGAGGAGCGGGTGTGGGGGTTTGGGGGGAATGAGGAGGTGAAGGGAGAGGGCTTGGAAGGATGGGGAGGTGAGGAGGTTTGGGGGGTGATGGGGTGAGGAGAGGGGGCTTAGGGGGTGACGAGGATGTGAGGGGAGAGGGCTTGGGAGGATGTGACGAGGATGTGATGAGGAGGTGAGGGGAGGGGATTTAGGGAGGTGATGAGGAGGTGAGGGGCACAGGGGGTGGGTTTGGGGGATGACCAGGAGTTGAGGGGCGTAGGTTTTGGGGGTCTCTGAGCACTCAGCCGATCACCCACACCCCTGCTCTTCCCTCCCAGTTCGAGCGCTGCAGCCACTTCTTCCAGATGAAAAACATCTCCTTCTGCGGGTGCCACCCCCGGAACAGCTGGTGAGCCCCCCAGCCCCCCATGGGCACCACAGGGGACCCCCATCCCCTGCCAGGGGCACCCACAGGCCACACCAGGACCCTCTGCCCACTCCTGGTCCCCCTGTGGCTGTCCCGGGGCCCCGGTGGGTGTCCCCCTGCCCGGGGCAGGGTTGGGGTGCCCCCCTCACCCTGTGCCCCCCTCACCCTGTGCCTCCCTCACCCTGTGCCCCCCACAGCTACTTCGGGTTCATCACCAAGCACCCGGTGCTGAGCCGCTTCGCCTGCCACGTGTTCGTGTCCCAGGAGTCCATGAGACACGTGGCCGAGTGTGTCGGGTACGGAGGGCACGGGACGGGGGCACAGGGGGTGTGGGGCCGTGGGATTGGGTGCAGGGCGGGTGGGGGGGATGAGGAGCTGGGTGCAGGGGGGCTGGGCACCAGGGGTCTGGGGGTGCTGAGGGGCTGGGGGTGCAGAGGGTCTGGGTGCCAGGGGATGGAGTGCTGGGGGGCTGGCAGTGCCAGTGGTGAGGGTGCACTGGATCTGGGTGCTGGGGGACTGGGTGCTGAGGGCTGGGTGCTGGGGGTCTGGCAGTGCTGGGGGTGCTGGGCTATGGGTGTGAGGGGGCAGGAGTCTGGGGGCTGGCAGTGCTGGGGCTGGGGGTGCAGAGGGTCTGGCTGTGCTGGGAGCCTGGGTGCCAGGGCACTGGGACTGTCAGGACGGGGGGTCTGGGTACAGGGCATCTGGATCCTGGAGAGGTGACTGTGCCAGCTCTGGGGGTGCTCGGGGGCTGGCAGTGCCACAGGTGGGGGTGCAGTGGAGCTGTGGGTACTGGCGGACTGGGTGCTGAGTCTGGGGTTGCTGGGGGGGGGGGTCTGGATGTTGGGGTGTGGCTGTGCCAGGTTTGGGGGTGCGGGGGGTGCAGGGGATTGGGGTCCCAACCCTGAGCCCCCCCGTCGTGCCCGTCCCCGCAGCCGAGCGTTTCAGGAATATTACCAGGAGCACCTGGAATACGCCTGCCCCACAGAGGACATCTACCTGGAGTAGGGGGGCAGCGGGGGGGCTCCTGCTTCCGCACCCCCCTCCAGCCCCACGGCGGCCAGAGACTGTGTGACCCCCAGCCAGCCGGCTTGGCCCCCCCGCACACGCTCCAGCCCAGGCCCCACGGCCCCCCCGCACACCCTCACCGCTTCTCGGGGGGCCGGGGGCCGCCGCGGACCACGGGTGGGTATCGGGGTGCGCCCCGGGCACTCCGGGCACGGCGGTGACGCAGCCCGGCCTGGGGGGCCGGGGAGGAGCCGCCCCCCACCCCCTGCATGAGCAACGCCGGCCCGGGGGGCAGGAGCGGGGAGAAGCCCCCCGGACACGGGGGGGACCGAGAGGGGGGCTCGAGGGGGTGAGTGGGGCTGGGGGGAGGCTGCGAGGGGGCTGACGGGGGCACGGGGAGGGGGGGTGTGCCAGGGTGAGCATCTCCATGAAACCCCCGAGCCCTGCGCAGTGCCAGCCCCCCACCCTGAGGAACGGGGGTCCCCCCCAGCGCTGCAGCCCCCGGGAACGGCCCAAACCCCCCCTCCAGCTGCAGCCCCCGGGTCTCCCGCCCCCGGCCCCCTCGTGTCGGTGCCCCCGGCCCCACCCCCTGCCACCGCTCCGCCATCCCCCTGCCCGGGGGGCCGAGCTCCCCCCGAGGGGCCGTGGGGCGCAGCACCGCGCTCGGGCCCCGGGGGGGTCCCCGTCGGGGGGATCCCCGTCGGGGGGGTCCCCGTTGGGGGCCCCCCCGCTCCTCACTGCTGTGCCTGGTGGTTTCTTTGCTTCGGCCCCTCTCGCCCAGCGCTATCGTGACTATAACTCCACCCGCTCGATGTCCCGATATTTATCTGTAACTCAGCAGCCAGAGGAGCCCCGAGAGCCCCCCGAGCCACTGTACGACCCCCGGTTGTCCCCACGCCGTGTCACCCACTTGGTCTTTCAATAAAATATATGCTTGGTGTGACCACGGGACTGGGGGCACTGCTGGGGCACCCTGGGCCGGGCTGGGGGGCTGCGGGGTGGGGGGCAACCAGAAAACGGGGGGTACCCAGGAGAGGGGGGCAGGCAGGGGAGCGGGGGCACCCAGAGAGTGGGGGACAGCCAGGTGGGTGGGGGGGCGAGCAGCAAGAGAGTGGGGGCACCCAGGAGAGGGGGTGCCAGAGGAGTGAGGGGACACCCAGGTGAGTGGGTGCACCTTGGTGGGGGGGGCACCAAGAGAGCGGGGGCAACCAGGAGAGTGGTGGGCACTCAGGAGAGGGGGGGACACCCAGGTGAGCAGGGGGCAACCAAGAGAGGTAGGGACCCCCAGAAACATGGGGCACCCAGAGGAGTGGTGGGCACACAAGAGGGGGGGCACTCAGCAGAGATGGGGTATCCAGGGGGTGCCAAGAAGAGGGGACACCCAGGAGAGAGTGGGGGGCACTAAGGAGGGGGGGGGGCAACAAGGAGAGGGGAGTACCAGGAAAGTGGGAGGAACCCGGGAGAGGGTCGGGGGCAACCAGGAGAGGGGGGTACCAGGAAAGTAGGGGGAACCCAGGTGAGGGTGGGGGGCACCAAGGAGAGGGGGGCACTCAGGGCAGGCACCCAGCTGAGGAAGGACCCAGGTGAGGGGGGGCATCCAGGAGGGAGGGGGCACCAGGAGAGTGGGAGGCACCAAGGCGAGGGGGGGGTCACCCAGGAGAGGAGGGGGCACTCAGGTCTGTGGGGGCACCTGGAGAGGGAGGGCACCCAAGGGTCCTGGCACCCGGGACCCCCGTGGGTGGCCGGGAGCTGCTGTAGGTGTAACACTGGGGGCGGTGGCATCGTGAGCACAGGACACGTCCTGGCACCTGTGGGAGCCGTGGGCACCCCAAAATTCAGGCACTGCTGTCCCTCTGGGGCTCCTGTTTGTCCCCAGTCCTATGCAGGGACAGGCCAGCATGGGAGGGGCTGCTGGAGCTGAGAGACCACAGGACAAAGCGGAGCTTTCTTATAAATTTATTACATAATAATAATAATAATTAATAATAATAATATAATATAAGAAACATAGATCTCTGTGGGGGATGTGTATCACAACGTCAAGGGCGGGAGGCGAATGGCCGCACCTCCATGACTCTGGAGAAGGAGAAATCTCCTCCGGAAAAATCCATACAAAATAAGGGTGAAGTCAAACCGACCCTGGGGAAAAATTAAAACCGGAACGAAAACCCACAGGTGAGTCCGTCTGGGTGAGAACCAAGAGTGTGTGGATGGCGGGGCCGCGGCGGGAGCCGGTCTGTGCACATGCAGTGGGCGTGAGGGTGGCTCCGCGGGTGGCACATGCATGGGCAGTGAGGGCTGTCCGGGGCGCGGGCGGGCGGGCACCGCGCCGGGACGGGGCCGGCGGGAGCCAAGTGCTCCGGGTTGTTTTGTCTGGGGGGGAGAGGGGGGGTCACGGACAGGCTGATGGAGGGGGGGGGGGGTGTCGCGAGGGCGCTCGGCTGGACAAACGAAAAATACTCCTAAAACAACTTCTAAAAAAAAAACAAAAAACCAAACAAAAAAAAAAAAAAAAAAACAAACAAAAACCCCTTCGAATCGCGGGGGGGAAAAAAAAGAAAATAAATAAAGTGTCTCCTTTTGTACAGCGGATAAACCCAAGTCGTTGAGAAGCCATGAGAATCACAGTAACCGCCGCGGCTGGGCCCGGCGCCACGGCACGCGCGGCACGGGGCGCGGCACGGCCCGGGGGTGGCCACGGGGGCGGCACGGCCGAGGGGTTGGCGTGGCCGAGGGGCCAGGAGGGCCGAGGGGTGGTCGAGGGCTCGGCACGGCCGAAGGGTTGACGTGGCCGAGGGGCGGCCGAGGGTTTGGCGTGGCCGGCAGGTTGGCGTGGCCGAGGGGTCAGTGTGGCCGAGGGGTCAACCTGGCCATGGGGTTGGCGTGGCCAAGCGGTTGGTGGGGCCAAGGGTTGGCCAAGGGTTTGGCACGACCGATGGGTGGCTGAGGGGCCAGCACGGCCAAGGGGCAGGCAAGGGGTCGGCGTGGCCGCTGGGTTGGTACGGCCAAGGGGTGGTCAAGGGGTCAGCACGGCCAGTGGGTTGGCCAAGGGTTCAGCACGGCCACAGGGTCAACGTGGCCAAGGGGACGGTGTGGTTGATAGGTTGGCGTGGAGGACGGGTCAGTGTGACCAAGGGGTCGACACGGCTGATGGATTGGCGTGGTCAAGGGGTGGCCAAGGGTTCGGCACGGCCGAGGGGTTGCTGTGGCCGGGGGGTCAGTGTGACCGAGGGGTCAGCGCGGCTGATAGGTTGGTGTGGCCAAGAGGTGACCAAGGGGTTGGCACAGCCGATGGGTTGTCGTGGCCAAGGGGTCGGCACGGCTGATGGGTCAGTGTGACCGAGAGGTCAGTGTGACCCAGGAGTCAGTGTGACCAAGGGGTCAGTGTGGCCAAGGGGTCAGCGAGGCCGAGGGGTCAGCTTGGCCGAGGGGTCAGTGTGACTGAGGGGTCAGCGTGGCCAAGGGGTCAGCACAGCTGAGCAGTGGCCACGTGGGTTGGGGCTCTGCCTTCTCCCGGATGGCTTTTCCAAATGCAATGTCTCAGTGGCTCCGGAGATGCCTGGAGGGGACGGTGGCACAGCCGGAGCGGGCACGAGTGTCACCGACACCGGGCACCCCTCTGCTTCCACAAGGATGGGAAAGGCTGGGAATGGCCACGGGACCAGACCTCGGCCGTCGGGCACTGCGGGGTCCCGGTCAAGGCACCGCGGTGCTGGGTGGGCACCCGGCCCCTGACCGTGGCCGAGGGCACTGGGGGGTCGGGATGAGGCCACCCCGGAGCCGGTGGCACCGCGGGGCACAGGCTGTGCAGCCACCCCGGCAGCACGGGCTCAGGGGGCACAGAGGGGCACGGGGGGCACAGAGGGGCACAGGGGGTGCGGGATGTCTGTGCTGGGGGGGCTCGAGGAGCCGCCCCGAGGCGAAGCCTGTTCGCCCGGTGACCCTGATGCCTTTTCCAAAGCCCCTTGTCCGGCTCTGCCGCATCCCCGCGGCATCGCAGGGACAGGGACCCGCATGGGGGGGACAGGGACGCGAGTCGGGGGGGAGAGGGATGTGCGGGGCAGGGGACGGGGATAAGCAGGGCAGGGGACAGGGGTGAGCAGGGCAGGGGACAGGGGTGAGCAGGGGAGGGGACAGGGATGCGCGGGGCAGGGGACGGGGATGTACAGGGCGGGGCACAGGGATGAGCACGGCGGGGGACAGCGATGCGCGACGGGGGGACAGGAACACACGGAGCAGGGGACAGGGATGAGTGGGGCGGGGGACAAAGATGCGCAGGGCTGGAGACAAGAACGCACCGGACAAGGGACAGGGATGCGCGAGGTGCGACAGGGATGCACGGGGAGGGACAGCGATGCACAGGGGGTGGGGGACAGGGACGCACAGCACGGGGCAGAAGATGGGAATGCGGGGCAGGGGACAGGAATGCGAAGGGTGGGGGACAGGGACGCGAGGGACACGGCGGGAGGGCGGGGAGGCTGCGGGGACAGGGTGGGGGAGCAGGTTTGTGGCAGCCCCGGGCAGTCCCTGGTGCCGCAGACCGCGGCGGGCAGCGCGGGTGGAAGTCGCCTTCTCTGGTGTGAGGCCTGACTGGGACGAGCCGTGGTGTCCCCGGGGACACTCAGTGTTCGCCAACACAGGTACGGCTGCAGCTGCTTGCGCTGGGAGCTGGGGGGGATGCAGGCGGGCACGGCCGCGGCTCCGCGGGGCGGAGCGGGCATCCACCATTTCGGTCCTCGAAAGGACGAGGAGGAAGAGAAGGAGGAGGAAGAGAAGGAAGAGGAAAAGGAAGAGGAAGAAGAAGAGGAGGAGGAGGGCTCCTCAGAAATGGCAAGAAGGCGTCCAGCTTTCCCGGTCCCAGACCGAGCTTTCCGCGGAGCGGTTGTGCTCCGCAGGTTTGTGGCCTCTCGCGGCAAGAGGCGGGTGCAGGCAGGTCTCTAAAGTCGCCCCAAAAACAGCTGCGGAAGGGGCAGAGACCGGGGATGGCCCGGCGGGTCCCGCCGAGCCGCCCGCACTCAGGCCAGCACACGGTCACCTTCCACCGACGGGCCGCGGGGGTCCTGGGGGGCAGCGCTTGGCAGAGCCCCCCGTGCCCCGAGGGCAGGGACGGCCCCGTTCCAGAGGCGTCCTGTCCCCGAGGGGCTGCACGAGGTCACCGGGGCCACCGAGGGCCACCGGGGTCTCTGGGGACCAGCGGGGTCTGCGGGGTCTGCCAAGGACTGCCGGGGGCTGCGGGACCCGCGGGCAGGGGGGTGGGGAATGGGGGGCAGGGCGGGAGGGGGGCGGTGGGACAAGGCTGGAGGGCAGGGAGGGTTTGTAGGGTGGGCGGGGGGGGGTCAGGGAGGGCAGCCAGGGTGGGTGGGGGCAGACAGGGGAGGTCAGGGTGGGCAGGCAGGGTGGGCAGGGAGAGCAGGCAGGGTGGGTAGGGGCAGGCAGGGAGACCAGGCGGGGCAGGCAGGGAGAGCAGGCAGGGTGGGTAGGGGCAGGCAGGGAGAGCAGGCAGGATGGGTAGGGGCAGGCAGGGAGAGCAGGCAGGATGGGTAGGGGCAGGCAGGAGCGGGCAGGCAAGGCAGGCAATGCCAGGCAAGGTGGGTAGGGTGGGACAGAGAGGGCAGGCAGGGCGGTGCAGGGGCGGGCAGGGAGGGCAGGCAGGGTGGGCAGTGCCAGGGCATGCAGAGGGGCTGCAGGGCACTGGCAGCACCAAGCAGTGCAGGGGCTTGGCCAAGCTGAGCATTCAGGTGGGGGCTGCTCTGTGGGGACCCTCCCGTGTCCCCCGTGTCCCCACAGCAGGATCCAGCCCTGGCATTTCCAGTGGGACATCCAGGGCTCTGCAGCCGTGGGGTGGCATTGCCAAAGCAGCCACGGGCACGTCCCCACGGGGCATCCCCCCATCAGCCACAGCAGCCTCGGGAAAGCAGCACGAGGAACCACCAGCCAAAGGCATTCCAGGTCATTCCCCGTCTCTACAGCCTGGGAAGGAGGTGGGGCGATGCCACGGGGGGCTGTGGCGTGCCCGGCATGCGGCGTGCCCGGCCCGCGGCATTCCTGCAGGGATGCAGAGCAGCGGGATGCTCGCCGGCATCCCGGGATGTGCCGGCGATGCTTCCCCAGGCACGGAGCTGGAGAAGCAGCACCGGGCTGGCAGCCGAGCTTCGGGCTGAGCCGGGCTCCGGGTCCATGCGGGGTTTGGCACAGCACAGGGATGCGGGCACTGGGAAGCGGCGGGAGCAGGGACAGGGACACGGGGAGCGAGCGCGGGGACACGGGAGCAGCGGTGGCAGCGGCTGTGCTGGCAGGCGAGGGTGGCACAGGGAATGGGACTGTCCTTGCCCGTGCCAGACGTGCCAGCCGGTCCCTGTGCTTGGAGCGTGCCGGGAATGCCAGAGCCCAGGCACAGGGGGAGGGTGGTGGCACATGCTGGGGGCACAGGCCAGGCGAGGGGGGCTGCGGGGTGGATTTGGGGGTGCAGGGGCTGGGATGGTGGGAGGGTACATGAAGGGGGTGGATTAGGGGGGCACAGGCAGCAGGATGGAGGGGGGGCACATGGGAGGGATGGATTCGGGGGACAAAACCAGCTGGACAATGGGAGGGCACCTGGAGGGGATGGATTTGGAGGGCACAGGTAGCAGGATGGTGGGAGGGCACCTGGAGGGGATGGATTTGGGGAGCACAGGTAGCAGAATGGTGGGAGGGCGAGTAGTGGGGCTGGAGGGAGGATTTGGGGACCGAGGGTGGCAGGTTGGCAGGAGGGGGCACGGCAGGGTTGGCAGGGCAGATTTTGGGGGTGCAGGGCTGGGTGGGGGTCAGGGGGCAGACTCGGGGTGCAGGGAGGGGGGTGCACGGCAGAGGGGCCACGGGGATGCCAAGGGGCAGGACCTGGGCTCTGGATTCCTGCTCCAGGTCCCTCGGGGTGGGCGGGGCTGGGGGCACCTGGTGGGTGCGATGGCCCCCCAGGTGAGGGGCCGGGCAGGTGCAATGGCTGCTCTCGCAGTTCGGGCGCCTCTCGGCTCGCCATGCCGGGATTCCCGGGATTCCCGGGATCTCCGGATGTGCAGCGAGGGCTGTTTGCTACCCGGGCCGGCTCGAAGCCCGTCCCGGTCCCCGGGCACCTGTCCCGGCTGCTGCAGCGGGATGGGGGCCGGGGAGGGGGAGAGGCCACGGACCACCGGGGTCCGGTGGCTTCCGGAGAGCTCTGGATGGAGCCACGCGGGCTCTCACCCAGCGAGGGCTCAGGGAAAAGGAGATGGCTCCGGGGCACGAGGGTCCCTCCCGGGGAGGTCCCAGAACCTGGCACAGGGCAGGGTCCCTCCCAGGGAGGTCCTGGCACCTGGCACAGGGCAGGGTCCATCCCAGGGAGATCCCAATGCCCTGGAGGAGCTGCTGCTCCCACCCCGGGCCGGGACCTTTTCCCTGGCCGAAGGTTTAAAGGTTCGGAGATGGTTGAGGGTCAGAAGGAACCTCCTTGTCCTTCCCTCTAGCACCAGAAGAGTTAATGCCTTCGTGGGGGACTCGGCTTTTTGGGAACACGAGCCGTCACCGCGCCGTCCCCTCCCGGCCAGCCGGGCAAGCCCTGCCCATCCCGAGCCGGGGGCGGGGCGGGGAGGAGGGGGCACGTGGGGCACCGGGATGGGGGACGGGAATTCCACCTCCACCAGCGCCAAGGCTGGTCTGGCTCACTCCACACGGTGCCCCCGCGGCCACTACCAGCCCCCAGACCCCCATGCTGGCCTCCTCCCGCTCCCGAGGAGCCACCCCAGGGACCCCCGTGGCCAAGCCAGCGGTGCCATTCGGGATGTTCCCCGGGAGTGGGAAGCGCCAGCTCCGTGCTCTCTGCCTGGAAGACTCGGTGTGTCCCAAAAAACCCAAGTTTTTCTTGTTTAAGTGTTTTCTAAATCTTTAAAATCCAGAGTGTCTGAAAAGAGCTGTTGGATTTTTTTTTTTTCGGGTTTTTTTTTGTTTAAAAAGACTTTAACATTCATTCAGTCAGTCAGCTAAAAATTCCCATGAGCCATGGGCGTCCCGGGAGGGGCTCGGGCACCGCCTCGCCAGCATCTCCTCAAGTCTAGAGATATAGAGATTTAGGAAAATTATAACAAAATCAGGTGGCTATAGCTATAGATATAGATATATAGATATTTGTTCTCTCTTTTCAAATATATAGCTGATTAAAAAGATGCAAAATAAGGATGGACCAGGACGGAGTGGGGGGGGGGATCCTGTAGTTCAGAATCGTCTCGTGTAGCTCATCAGCTGCTCTCTATATAAATGCACGGAGATTAAATAATTACCCATCAACGTGTCCCCCTTGGAAACAAGACCCCGAACCAAGAGGAAATAAAACGTCTCCCTCCCCCCGCCCCCCCCTTTGAACGTTGGCAAAGCGTTTGCTGCGGGTTCCCCCCCCCGGCCTCCCGCCGACAGCCCCAAACATGCTTCGATCCATGCGGTTTCGGTCCCTCTCACCCGGGAGCGGCAGCACAGAGTCCAGGCGGGTCTGTCTCGCGGGGGGATGGCTCTTCAGGTCGGCGCGGCACGGCCCGGCACGGCGGGAGGGCGCAGGTCCGGCTGGCACCGCTGGCACTGCCCTTCCACGGAGCCCTTCCTCGCTCCAGCCCTTCCTGTCCGAGCGCCGGCGGGGACGACCCGGCTCGGCCGCCTCCGACCCCGGCAGGGCCACCCCACGCGGGGCCAGGGCCACCCCACGCGGGGTCAGGGCCACCCCACGCGGGGTCAGGGCCACCCCACGCGGGACCAGGGCCACCGCCGCGGCCACCACCGTGCCACGGTGCCTCCTGCCCGCGCTCCCGCCGGCGGCGGCTCGGGCGGCTCGGGGGGCTCCACGCCGCGGTCACCCCGACCCGCCCGAGGTGCCACCGCGGTGCGTCCCTGCCTATCCCTGCCTGTCCCTGCCTGTCCCCCGTGGCCGAGCCTGGGCCGGCCACGGGCTCCCACTGCACCGCTGGCCCTGCCCGCTGCCGCCCCGGCCCGGCGCCTGTGCCCCTGCGGCCCCGCGACGCCCCGGGAGGGGCACATCAAGCGATTTACAGGCCAGACTCTCTGGGAGAACAGAAACGAGGATGAATTTCATGCAACATTCCTTGTCCGGGGGCGTGGCGGGGCCGGGCGCGCCGGGGCGGGGCGGGAGCGGGCGGGAGCCTCTCGGCTCCGCGCCCTCAGTGCAGTGCTCAGAGTAGAAAGAGAATCCAAGTGGGTTTTATTGGCCTGGTAGAAACGCCCCCCCTTCCCCGCGGCGGCTCCGGCGAGGCCGGCGCTGCCGGGGACGGTCAGCTGTCCACCAGCTGCTTGAGCGCCCGCTCAATGTTCATCCGGTGCCCCACGCGGGTCACCCCCAACTCCACGAAGTCCTCCTTGGTGAGGGCGGGCAGGTGGGTGCCCTCGATCTCGTGGTCCTCGAACTTGTCGCGGTGCTCCACCAGGTTGATGCTTTCCAGCCAGTCCCCGACGTCGTACTTGTTCCACAGGTGGAGGGGTTTCTGCATGAAGGGCCGCGGCGGGTGCAGGGTGTGCAGGGGCGGCCCCGGCGACGGGGACGGGGACGGGGAGCGGCTCCGGGCGCTCACGCTCCGCACCACGAAACGCACCTCCTTGGGCTCGTGGGGGATGGAGAGGCTGGAAGATTTGAGGATGGTGGGGGGGGTCAGGCCGTAGGGCCGGACGGTGCTGAGGGGCTCTGTCCGGTCCAGAGCCGGCTTCACGGGGCTGGGGGTGCGGCGGGTGACGGGGTAGCGACTGCCAGGTCGGACTGTGTAGGTGGTCCCGGAGCTCCGCTGGGAAATGGTGCTGAGTTCTCCTAAACTACTGAAAAGTCTGCGGAGAGAGCGGAACAGCGAGAGAGAGAGAGGGAGAGAGAGAGAGGGAGAGAGAGAGGGAGAGAGAGAGAGAGAGAGAGAGAGAGAGAGAGCAGAGGGCAGGGGTGAGGCCAGGTCCGGGCACGGGGGCACACACACAGTACACGGGGAGGGGCTGCTGGAGGGCTGGGAGGGGTCACAGCGCGGGGACAGGGCTCGGAGCGCTCAGCCAGGACATCCCGCCCGGGCCGGGCCGGAGGAGCCACCAGAGGTTCCAGCAACGCCTCCGAGATTGCGATTCCCGGCCAAACCTGCCCTAAAAACGCGGCTCTGCACCCCCCGAGACCCCCACAGCCCTGAGGACAGAGAGCCTGCCCCTCGTCCTGGCAGGGACCCCCAGCCCCCCACGCACCAGGAGCAGCCCAGTGCTCCCCAGCACCGGGGCAGAGCCCTTCCCAGGACAGGAGGGAACCTTCTGGCATCTCCCCCGGGATGGGAGGACCCTCAGGGCACCCCCCCCCCCCGATGGAGGTGGCAGGTGATGGTCACCTGGGGCGGTCAGTGGTGGCCGGGCTGGTGTCCCCCTGGCACTGTGCCATGTTGGACCCCTGGTTGATGCCCCCGTGCCATGGGGGGCACCGGGGTGGAGAGGACCCCCCCCCAGCACTGGGCTCTGCTGCTCTGAGAGTCTGTGACAGGGACAAACCCCCCTTCCCCACCATGTGTCGTCCCCCTGCCATTGTCCCCTTCTGCCATCCCATCCCTGGCACAAACACCTACCCTGGGAATGTGAAAGGAAACGGATCTAAAACTTGGATGCTGGAGGATGAATCCCATGAACCGTGAGTCCTACGAGCCCCTGGTAGGGCCTAAAGGGGCTCCAGGAGAGCTGGAGAGGGACTGGGGACAAGGCCTGGAGGGACAGGACACAGGGAATGGCTTCCCAGTGCCAGAGGGCAGGGATAGGTGGGATATTGGAAGGAATTGCTGTCTGAGAGGGTGGGCAGGCCCTGGCCCAGGTTGCCCAGAGAAGCTGTGGCTGCCCCTGGACCCCTGGAAGTGTCCAAGGCCAGGCTGGACGGGGCTTGGAGCAACCTGGGCTGGTGGAAGGTGTCCCTGCCCATGGCAGGGGTGGGGCTGGATGGGCTTTAAAGTACCTTCCTACTCAACCCATCCCATCCCATCCTAACCCATCCCAACCTATCCTATCGTATCCCATCCTATCCTATCCTATCCTATCCTATCCTATCCTATCCTATCCTATCCTATCCTATCCTATCCTATCCTATCCTATCCCATCCCATCCTATCCTGCCCTACCCTAGTCCTGTCCAAGCACTGTCACTTCACTTGTCCTCCAAACTGATCCTTACAATTCCTGCACACTGGAATGTGGGGCCTCATTTCCCTGCCATCTCTGTGCTCTGCCTCCCATCTCAGGTCCCTCCCGGAACAGATGGACACTCTGGAATCCTGTTGGCGGCAACAGCAGTCTGAGGGCTACACTCCATGGCACCAACCGGTGCCACCAATGCCACATCGTGCCAGATCCTCGTTTGGGGGACGTTAATGAGCTCCAACGATTCCTCACAAGGATGGTCCCGAGGAGATGAGCTGGACACGACTGCAGGTCCACAGGATGAGGCACATTCCCTCTAATTCCCACTTCCCTGCCTCCCTGGCACGGTGGAGGAGGGTTGTGAGGCAGCAGGACGATGAATCACCTTTGGGAAGCTCCGACAAGGAAGAGCTGAACATCCTTGGGGGCTGGAGGATGAGAAGTGCCAGGACAGAACGTGGCCATGTCCCGTCGGGAGCCCATCCAAGGACCTTGGCTCTGTGGGAAGTGATGGAGAGAAAGTTCTGGATCTGCTGGAAGACCCAAAGGCAGCAGCCACGGACAGGCCAAAGAAGCACTGCAGGCTCCAAGGTGGGTGTTTCTCCCAGACCCACGGATGCACTCGTGTTGCTGCACTCCCGTTGGGAATTCCGGGCACACTCGGTGCCAGGAAGGTGAATGGAAGGGGCAGCAGGCCTGGCTGGTCGGGTGTCACCTGCAGCTCCATCCTCTTCCACGGAGCACCTGGTCCTGGCCATGCCCTATGGAAGTGTGTCCCTGGCTCCCGCCCCTTCGGCAGCGCTGCTCTCCAGCCTGGGATCAGGCAGCTGGACAGTCCCAGATCCCGAGTTAACTCCTCAGGGACCATCAGACAAACTACTGGCTCACTTTTTGGGGTGCTGCTATCCCAGCCCTCAGCTTTTCCAGGCTTCATGAGCCCTACGGAATCATCCTTCTCCTCGAGGCAACGAGTCCATGCGAGGGAGCTCAGCGAGACAACGGAGCTCTTCCTCCACTTCCCATTCCTGGTGTCTTTTCCTGGCCCTCGGAAAGGTGGCAGCCATGAGGGAGTGGCATTGCTGGTGCTCCAGGTTCTTCCATGAGCTGGGATGTGGCAGCTCCTTCAGTCGGTCTCCGAACGCACGAATCCCAATTCTGGCAGCTCCCGAGCTCGGCAGCACTGGATCATTCCTGGGATTGCTCCTTCGGTGCAGCCAGGAAAAGGAGCCTTTGGAAAGGCAGCAGAATCACAAAAAAGGGAGCTCAGGTCTCACAGGAAGCGGATCACAAGCAGAGAAACTCTAGCTGATGGAGAGGGAAGTTCTGTCCAAAGGAAAAGGGATCAGGCGCTTGCAGGACGGATAATTGGGCCTTCTGGGAATGCTGTTACTGGAGGCGTTAAGGAGCCGATCTCTCCAGTGAGTCATTAAGGGATGAAGAGTCTTCCTTTGAACTCCACATCTCAGTCTGAGCGTCTCCAAGAGTTCCAGAGGCGAGGGCAGGCTCAGCTCCGGGGGCACCGCGCTCCGAGCGCTCCCAAGGGAAACGCTTCCCTGTTCCTCGGCAAGGCGTCCGTGCTCCTGCTCCGGTGGTCCGGGACGGCCCCCAAATCCTCAGACCCGCCTGGAGGACTCACCTCCTGGGTGACAACTCTTGCTAAGGAGGAGCGAGGCACGAGATGGCTCCCGTGATTCCCAGTGTGCTCCCAAAGGCTCCCACATGGAGCTCGGTGCCACCTGTGACACATCCAGGCTGGGCTCGGGGATGAGAATTCCCAAAGACTCTGATGTGGAGCTCGGCACGAACTGGGGCCCAGGGGTTCCCAAAAGCTCCAGTGTGGAACTCAGTGCTGTGACCATGTCCAAGCTGAGCCAGGAATTCCCTTCTCCACCATCCAGTGGGTCCGTGAGTTCCAGCGGTGGAGGATCCACACAGACCTCAACATCACTGCCAGCAAAGATGTGCAGAGCCCCTTATTCCAGGTCATTCCCATTCCAGACATTCCAGGACCACTGGGTCCCTTCCAATCCAAGCCACTCTGTGATTCCTTCTTTTTTGCTGGAGCTGCCCCATGGCAGAGCCCTCCCTGAGGGTTATGGAATGAGGGCTTGAGCTGACAGGGCTCCTGCCAACCTTCCCAGGGACCTTCCTATGGACCTTCCTCCAACCTTCCCAGGGACCTTCCTATGGACCTTCCTCCAACCTTCCCAGGGACCTTCCTATGGACCTTCCTCCAACCTTCCCAGGGACCTTCCTATGGACCTTCCTCCAACCTTCCCAGGGACCTTCCTATGGACCTTCCTCCAACCTTCCCAGGGACCTTCCTATGGACCTTCTTCCAACCTTCCCAGGGACCTTCCTATGGACCTTCTTCCAACCTTTCTACGGACCTTCCTTGCTCACCGCGCCATCCCACAGACTCCAGTGGGATCCAGGGATCAGAACAGCCTGTCCCTCCTTCTCCTGCACTCAGAAAGCTCCTAGTCCTAGAAATGCCCAGAAAATAAGGATGTGGGACTTTCCCTGCGTCCTTGGATGAGCTGCAGGGACACCTCTGGGCCGGACACGGAGGGGACAGTTGAGCTGTGTCATCACCTTCCCTCAGACCCAGCTTTGGGAATGTCACCGACAGCCCAAACCTGAGCCTGGGGAGCCGGGGGTGCCCTGGATCTGCTCTGGCACTGACTGTCCTTGATGCTGCTCCCTAAAATATCCCGGGTTTGGAGCAGCCCGTCCTGGCAGGGATTAAACACAAACTCCTGGGCTAAGGATGAGTTTAAAGAGGCTCAGCTGAGCAGGGACCAGGGAGAGCCAGCGGGGATCCCACAGGCAGGGATTTGTTGATCCTGCTGGATCAAGACAGCAGGTAAGCCTGACCCTAACCTTAACCTTAACCCTAAACCTAACCCTTGTCTGTGATCCTAAGCTTAACTCTGACCCTAACGTGATCCTAAACTTAACCATAAGCCTTATCCCAACCCTAACCCAAGTCTAAACCTAATCTTAATCCTAACCGTGAATTTGACTCTGATCCTGACCCTAACCCTAAACCTGACCCTAAGGTTAACCCTAATCCTGATGCCAAACCTGACCCTGATCTTAACCCTGATCCTGACTCTGATCCTAAACGTAAACCTGACTGTAAATTTAACCCCAATTCTAATCCTTACCCTGACTCTGATCCTAACCTTAAACCTGACCCTAAACTTAACCTTAACCCTGATCTTAACCCTGACCCTGATAGTGACCCAAACTGTAAACCTGATCTTTGACTCTAAACCCTAAACCTGATCCTAACCCCAACCCTGATTCTGATCCTGATCCTAACCCTAAACCTGACCCTAACCTTAAGCCTGACCCTAAACTTAACTGCAGTCCAGATCTTAACTCTGCTCCTGATCCTGACCCCAATCCTAACCCTAACCCTGCTCCTGACCCTGATCCTGCCTCTGGCTCATGCTGGGAGCTGGGCAGGGATACTGGGAGCTGGGCAGGGATACTGGGAGCTGGGCAGGGATACCGGGCATGGATGGAACAGCATCCAAAGGTTTCCCACACACGGTGGCAGCATCAGGGACGGTCCCACGGGTGACACGGGACTGGGACAGCACGGCCATCGTGGGACACTGGCCCTGCCACCACCCCAAATCCTCTGGGGCCGGGAGTGGGGGCAGGACCCGGCTGAACTCTGCCCGTCCCGCTCCGGCAGCCGCGGGAAGAGCGGCGGGAAGAGCCCCGGGATGAGGTCCCGCAGCACCAGCCCAGGGCAGGTCCCCCCCCGGTGCCCCCTGGACACACGGACGCTCCGTGAGGGCAGCGGCAGCACCGCAGGGATGAGGACGTGGGCGGGTGCGATGGGATGAGCCCCCCCCACCGCGGGATCGGGCCTGGAATGGGAGCAGGGAGCAGGGAGCGGGGAGCAGAGCCCCGGCACGGCCCCGCTCCGGGCAGAGCCGCGCTCCGGGCCCGAGGGTGCTCCCCAGAACTGAGGCGGGACAGGGGCTCCCGAGCATCCCACCCCTCTGCTCCAGCCGGGAGCAGGGCCGATCCCTAGGGATGGCATCCAGCGGGAGGGCAGCCCTTCCCAGCCCCGCCCGGGCAGGGCCCCGGGGTGGGGCCGCGGCCTCGGGAATTCAGCGCTGCTCGGCAGAGAACGGCAGGTGAGATCCCACAGGAGCCATCCCAGAGCTCCGAGGGCTCCGGGGCTGCGGCACACGGGGGAGCGACACGGATGGAGCTCCACGGGCACCACAACGGGACACACGGACAGCACGGAGGGAGCACGACCAAGAGCACACAGCTGGCCATGCAGGCTGGGGAAATTCCCACGGGAGAACCCTTCCACCCCGCTGTGCCCGCCCCGTCCCGTGGATCGTCCCCGCCCGGTCCCACGCATGGGCAGGAAGGGCCAATCCCAGGATCCCACTGCCCGTCCCAGCCTGGTGAGTGCTCCCAGCTCGGTGGCCACGGGCTGGGGAAGGGATTCCAGCAGCTCTGGAAGCGACTGGGACCTGCTGGAATCGTGGCCAAGGAGCTCTGCCAGGAGGATCCCTCCGGTGCCAGGCGCTGGGAGAAGGGGGGTCAGTGGATCCTGGTTTTCCTGCTGCAGCCTCAGGTGACTTTCCCGGGGACCTGTGGGTCACCAGGCCGGGGGTGTCCCCTGTCTGCAGGACCCTGCACTGGGATGGAGCAGGATGCCAGGGCAACAAGGTGCTGCCACCTCTATTCCATGGGAATTTTGCCCCAGAGGGTGACCCTGGGACACCCCACCACGGGGAAGTCACGGAGGGACCCTTGTGCATCCATGGAATGGGGGGAGCTGCTGGGATCAGACAGGGGATGTGCTTCCTGGGGGTGCAGCTGGCTCGGGTCACCCTTGCCGGGGTCTCTCCCACCCTTCCTGGGGCCTCTTCCATCCTTCCTATGGTTCTTTCCCACTTGCTGGGGTCTCTCCCACCCTTCCTGGGGCCTCTTCCATCCTTCCTGTGGTTCTTTCCCACTTGCTGGGGTCTCTCCCACCCTTCCTGGGTCTTTCCCACTCTTACTGGGATTCTTCCCTACCCTTGCTGGGGTCCTTTCCTGCTTTCTAGGGTCTCTCCCACTTTTTCTGGGATTCTTCCCTAATCTTGTTGGGGTCTCTCCCCACACTTTCTGGGATCCTTCTCTACCCTTGTTGGGTCCTTCCCTCCCTTTCTGGGGCCTTTCCCACCCTTCCTGTGATCCTTTCCCAATTGCTGGGATCTCTCCCATCCTTCCTGTAGTTTTTTCCCACTTGCTGGGGTCTCTTCCACCTTTCCCAGGATCTCTCCCCACTCTTGCTGGGGTCCTTCCCTACTCTTTCCTGGGGTCTCTCCCACTCTTTCCACGGTTTCTCCCACCCTTCCTGGGGTCTCTTTTACCTTTCCTGGGTTCTCTCCCACCCTTTCTGTGGTCCTTTCCCGCTTCTTGGTGTCTCTCTCACCCTTCCTGGGGTCTCTTTTACCTTTCCTGGGGTCTCTCCCACCCTTCCCGGGGTCCTTTCCCACTTCTTGGTGCCTCTCTCACCCTTCCTGGGTCTCTCCCTCCCTGTCTGGGTTCTCTCCCACGGGCCGAGCTGCACCGAGGGTTCCCTTTCCCGGAATCCCCCCCCCCCAACAATCCACAAATCCCATGGGAAGCCCGAGGGAATTTCCTCACCACCGCAGCAGCAGCAGCAGCAGCAGCAGCAGGAGCAGCACAGACACCACAGCACAGGGACACAGGGACACAGGGACACAGGGACACAGGGACACAGGGACACGGGGACACAGGGACACGGGGACACAGGGACACGGACATGCTACCGGGGCACACCGGGATGGGACGGGAACACGCACATTCCAGAGCGGGCCCACTGCCCGTTCCCGGCCCCGGGGGAGCCCTGGGAAGGCCGGGGGGGCAGGGGGGGAGCGGGAGGACAGGTGATTGCTATGGAATGGGAACATGCTCACTTACACAACTCGCCCACCCTCCGGAGGCCAGAGGCGGTTCTAGACAGAGCAGCGCGGACATGCAGATGGAGAGCAGGAAGAGAGGCAATGAGAGAGAATGTTGTTAGCTCCGGTCCGGGCAGCTCCACACGGGGAGGGGAGGGCGGATCCCAGCCCGAGGGACCCGGGGAGGGACCCGGGGAGGGCACGGGGCGAGGGGCACGGCGGGCGGCACCGGCGCTTCCCCGCGCCCGGGGGTGGGGTGGGGTGGGATGGGGAGACCCCCGGGGGGCTGAGGGGAGCTGGGGAGTGGCCAGGTGGGAGTTGCGGGGTCAGGGAATATCGGGATGGGCCCCGCCGGTCGCGGTTATGTCCGTATGGGAAATGGGGCGGTTGTAATTGCATGGATTCGACAGCCAAAGCCTGGAGGGTTGGACAGCGACAGAGCTGTGGGACGGGCTGGGAGGAGCAGAGGGGGAGAGGGGAGAGGGGAGGGACAGGACAGGGGTTCGGGAAGGGCAGGGAAAGGAAGGAAACAACAAATGCATGAGAAAAAAACGCCCCACGGCAAGAACAAGACCGAGCAGCCGATACGATTCCCGACTTTTCCCGTGTCCCCCCCGTGATTAGTGACAACATCAGCTACACCTAAAGGTCAGCTACGCCTTGCAGGTGAGTTGGTGCTTCCCAGAGGGAATAACCACGGCTCCTCCGTGTGGAAGTGGGCTGGGATCCCTGCTGAGGGCTCTGCTGAGCTCCCCCAGCCCTCGGCTGTGCCAGCAGGAGGGAGCCAGTGGCCTCTTCCCTCCTGGATGGCACAGCCACCTCACCTGGGCAAGGACTGCCTGTCCCCCTGCCCTCCCCTGACAGTGCCAGGGGCTCCCACGTTTGGCACAGCGGCTACAAACGCCACACAATCCCCGGTTTGCTCCCAATTCCATCCCTTTTCCACAGGTGGAACGGGGAGGAGAGGCTGGAGCCGTGCTGGGAGTGTGGACACCTCGGTCAGGTGGGGCCTGTGGGTGGGAGCAGCACAAGGAGCTGCTGTTGGAGCGGCCCCAGGGGAGGGATCTGGGAGGAACACGTGGTTATTCCCTGGGGAACGTGTCCTGCTGTGTCCTGGTGACCACCTGGAGCAGGGATGGAGCAGAGCAAGAGGAGCTCCAGGTGCTGTGGCTGTTCCCCCCCTCGTGCTTCCCCACCCAGGAGGGTCTCAGCCTCCAGTTGTGGTTTGTCTGGAGCAGTTCTGGGGATGGGCATTCAGCCAGGAGCTCTGTCCTGCCTGTGGTCCCTCACGGAGCAGGGACAGTTGGGAACAATCCCAGACGTCAGGAAATATTTCCTACAGGGAGCTCTGGCAGGGTCAGAGCTGCTTATGCCATAACTAAGCGTCTCTTTTGTCCTTCTCTCATCTCTTCTCAGCAGGAAAAGGCAATTTAAAGCTGGAATCCACATGAGAATTCCCATCTCCTCGTGTGCTGCCCCTGGGACTCCCCAAGCCAATCCCTTCCCTGTGGGAGGTTCCTCAGAGCTGCCCCGAGGCAACTCATGGAGCTCCCTCCTCTGCCTCCTGCTTGAACCCAACCTGGAACGGTCCCTCTGCATTTCTCCATGGAGAGGAAAAGCCCTTTTCCTGGGAATTCCACCTCTGTCCACCACAGCCCCGAAGGAGCAGGTGACAAATCCCTGCCGTGGGACCATCCCAAGCCAGACTCGCCCACCACCAACCCTTTGGGCTTTCCCTCTTCCCTCTTCCCTTCGGCACTGCTGTGACCCAGAGCTCATCTCAGGGAGACCCAGACACCCCTCCCTGCTCTCCCCAGGTGTCCCAAGCCCTGGCCAAGCCCGAGGCAGTGCCAGTGGCCCCGGCAGGATGAGGTGAGTGGTTAGTGATGCAGTGACGGGATGGGTGATGAGGTGAGTGGTTAGTGATGCAGTGACGGGATGGGTGAAGCCAGCGGAGCTGTGACACGGACACGTGCTGAGACCCGGAGCCCCTGTCTCCTTGTAGGCAGCACACAGGAACATCAAAACCCCTTCCTGGATCCGGTGGCAGGAGCCTCTGGGCTGGTGGCAGCTCGGGATCCCCCAGGATCACGGGCTGGGGGTGCCCCCTCCATCGCAGCCCCCTAAAACTCCGGCTTTTCCACTGCCCAGCCTGCAGCAGCTCATCCCTGTGCTCCCCACGGCCCTGCTGACGGAAAAGCTCCCCATCCTCAGCCTGCCATCCCTGGAGAATGCTGGGAAAATGCCATGGTAACCTGGAGGGAAGAGCTCCCTGAGGGAGCTCCTGCCTCCCTGAGCCCCCCCTGCGAGGCCGAGGGCCCACACCCTGTCCGTGTCCTCCCTGCAGAAACCTCCTCCCCTGGGAAGAGGAATCCATGGAGCCACAGATGTTTTTAGGCACCTATGGAGGTGGATTGAGCATCTCCAAGCTCGATGGCTGTGGCAGAAGTGGGGTGGAGCTGTGCCAAGGGTGGGTACATCCTCCTCCAACCTGCCCACCTCTTCCTTCCAACCTGCCCACCTCCTCCTCCAACTTGCCCACCTCCTCCTCCAACCTGCCCACCTCCTCCTTTAACCTGCCCACCTCCTTTAACCTGCCCACCTCCTTCCAACGTGCCCACCTCCTTCTCCAACCTGCCCACCTCCTCCTTTCAACCTGCCCACCTCCTCCTCCAACCTGCCCACCTCCTCCTTCCCAAACCTGCCCACCTCCTCCTCCAACCTGCCCACCTCCTCCTTCCCAAACCTGCCCACCTCCTCCTCCAACCTGCCCAACTCCTCCTTTAACCTGCCCACCTCCTCCTCCAACCTTCCCACCTCCTTCTCCAACCTGCCCACCTCCTCTCCAAACCTTCCCACCTCCTCCTTTAACCTGCCCACCTCCTCCTCAATCCTCAACCTTGGCCATGTCCTGTCCAAACCTGCCCATCTCTGTCCCACGTGGGGCCACCTCCTCTCCAAACCTCACTGCCACACAACCCCCCCCTATTCCCACCCTCCCCCTGGAAAGGCACCGAGTGCACGTCTCTCCACTGCCCTCAGTGATTCCAGCCCTTTCCACTCGCTCTCCGTGGCCAATTCCCTCGAGTTTCGGAGCAAAGCTCCGCTTCCCACAGGAATTTGGCCCCCAGGAAACACCCGAAGCCTACAAGGAAACAGGGGGTTGTATCTGCAGCGGCTCAAAGCTTGTGCCAGGGATGTTACACCAGTTCACTGAAACAGAATTAATCGAGGAGTTGAGGAAAAAGAGGCAGCTTTACCCTGGGAACTAAATGCCCCAAGGGCTTATTTTTCTTCTCTCTCTCTCTCAGATCTGTAGAAATACAAAGCAAGTGGTGGGTTTGCAGAACAGCACCCGAAACGCTCCGTTTGGCAGCTCAAATTCTGCTTCACGTGACACTTTTGGCGTGTTGGGCTGTCGCTTAAAGATAAACAGACAAGCAAACGAGCAAACACACGCACGACCCCTCGGCAAAGCACCCCCTGACCCGGCCCGGGAGCCCCCAGACAGCCCCGGGACGCTCGGGATGCTCCTGGGGAGTCACTGGGAGGGGCAGATCCGATGGGACTGCGCGGGAGGAGGGATGACGGGAGCCTGGAGAGAGGCTGGATGGGCACGGCCGGGTGCAGGACAGGGGGGGGACACGGGACGGGGATGTCACCTGGCACGTGGAGTCACCCGGGCTGGGGGTCAGCGGGTCCCCAAGCACACGCACACACCGCTCAGTCGTCAGCGTCAGCTTTATTGGGGACACGGATGTCACACAACGGACCCGCTGCGCTGCGGGCACCTCGCGCGGCTCCCGGGCTCGGCATCGGCTCCCCTGCCCAGGATCGGCTCCCGGGGCTTGGGATCGGCTCCCCCTGCCCAGGATCGGCTCCCAGGGCTTGGGATTGGCTCCCCTGCCCAGGATCGGCTCCCGGGGCTTGGGATTGGCTCCCCTGCCCAGGATCGGCTCCCGGGGCTTGGGATCGGCTCCCCCTGCCCAGGATCGGCTCCCGGGGCTTGGGATCGGCTCCCAGGGCTTGGGATTGATTCCCATTGCCTGGGATCTGCTCCCCCTGCCTGGGATCAGCTCCCCTGCCCAGGATCGGCTCCCAGGGCTTGGGATCAACCCTCATGGCTTGGGATCGGCTCCCCGTGCTCGGGATCAGCTCCCATTGCCTGGGATCAGTTCCCCCTGCCTGGGATTGGCTCCCACTGCTCGGGATCAGCTCCCGCTGCTTGGGATCAGCTCCTGCCGCCCAGGATGGGCTCCAGAGCAGCCACAGACACCGGGACACCTCATCCCTCTCCCACAGCTCAGCGGGCTGGATCTTCCAGGATCCGTCACTGCTCTACAAACCCCTGACAGGAGGGGGGAGCCGGGGGGGGTCGGGCTCTGCTCCCGGGGAACAAGGGACAGGACAAGAGGAAAGGCCTCAAGCTGTGCCAGGGGAGGGTCAGGTTGGATCCTGGGGAAATTCCTTCCCCCAAAGGACTGAAAAGCACTGGAATGGGCTGCCCAGGGCAGGGGGGAGTCCCCATCCCTGGAGGGATTTCCAAGCCCTGTGGATGTGACACCTGGGGACAGGGGTCAGTGGTGGCCTTGGCAGTGCTGGGTGGGGTTTGATGGGCTCAGAGGGCTTTTCCAACCTCAATGGCTCTGTGATTCCACGTTAAACAGGAAGAAGGTGCAGCTCCAGCAGAGCCGAGTCCGTGTGTCCCCACACAGGGGCCATCACTCCTTCCCAAGGACAGGCCCAAAGGAAGTTGTCCCCCTGCTCTGCTGTCACTGTCACCACCGGTGAGGACCGTGCAGGAGCTGTGCCCCTGTCAGCCTGGGCACGCTGGTGTGCCTCGTCCCGGTCCCAGGGGGATGGAATCAACACTGCCTCCAGCAGTTCCTCAACTCTGACCTCACGTTCCCATTCTCAGTCTTTCTTGGCCTCTTTCTCAGTCCCTCTGGTCAAACGTCCTTCCGTGGAAGCCCGTCTTGGAAGGAGACAGAGCCAGAGTTAGAGCTATGGAGAGAGTTATGGATCGTGTCGTCTCCTCCCGGGGTGTCCAGGCAGGACCCCCGAGAGCTCTGGGAGGGAAACGCTCCAGGGCCTGACCTGGAGCTGCCACGTGCAGGGAAATCCCTGCCCTTGGATGGAACTGCTGTAAATTCAGACTTAGGGCAGGAAGAAATTCCCTGTCCCCTGCAGGACTCCAGGATACTTCACAGCCCCCATCCCTGAGGGACTCCAGGATTCCAGGACACTTCACTGTTCCCATTCCTGTGGGATTCCAGGACACCTCACTGTTCCTGTGGGACTCCAGGATACCTCACTGTTCCCATTCCTGTGGGACTCCAGGATACCTCACTGCTCCCATTCCTGTGGGACTCCAGGATACCTCACTGTTCCTGTTCCTGTGGGACTCCAGGATACCTCACTGTTCCCATTCCTGTGGGACTCCAGGATACCTCACTGTCCATGTTTCCTGTGGGACTCCAGGACACCTCACTGTTCCCATTCCTGAGGAACTGCAGGATACCTCACTGCTCCCATTCCTGTGGGACTCCAGGATACCTCACTGTTCCTGTTCCTGTGGGACTCCAGGATACCTCACTGTTCCTGTTCCTGTGGGACTCTAGGACACCTCAGTGTCCCCATTCCCATGGGACCCCAGGATACCCCAGTATCCCTGTTCCCTGTGGGACTCTAGGACACCTCAGTGTCCCATTCCTGTGGGATTCCAGGACACATCACTGTCCCCATCCCTGTGGGACTCTAGGACACCTCAGTGTCCCCATCCCCAGACTACAGGACACCTCATTGTCCCCATATCCTGTGGGACACAAGGACACCTCACTGTCCCTGTTCCCTGTGGGATTCCAGGCCACCTCTGGCTCCAGGCAGCTCTTGAGGGAGGTTTAGGTGACCCTGTCCTTGTCCAGACAATTCCAGGACCTGGAAACCGTGTCCTGAACTGGGTCATCCCACCCTTACCCAACTGCTCCTTCCATTATTTCCCGAATTTACAGCAATTCCATAAAAGAGAGGAACTTGGACAACGCGGGAGAGGGACTGACATCATTAAATATTCTATTTACAGCCCATTTCCTGGGAAATATTTCAAGTCTTTGCCACCAACCGGGAGCATGGAAATTTCAGAGATGAAAGGCCGTGACTTTGGGCAAAGGAATGGGAAGGTTTAACTCTGTGGGATGGCTGGAAGGGCCGCACGCTGGTGGTGGGAGGGGGTTTGGAGCGAGGAGGGCGGGGGGCTCCAGGGGCTCTGCTGCTCCTGGGGCGTTGGCAGTGCCATGGGAAGCACAGGGAGCACAGGGAAGCAGCGGTGGAGGCAGGAGGGGGTTGAAGAGAAGCGGAGGATGGCGAAAGGATGCTCCTGGAAATTGGGGTCCCTGCTGGGGGGGGGGATCAGCAGGTCAGACAGACACAGATGGGGAGGGCAGGGAAGGGATGGGGACAGGGATGGGGGGCTGTGTTCCCACCTGGAGTCACTGGGAGACAGAGGACTCGCAGCCAGACACCAGAGCCAGTGAGAGGGGTCAGGGGGGCCCAAAACAGCCCCCCAGAGGTGCCAGCACCACGGGAGGGACCACCAGAGGCCACGGTGGTTTGGTTGGAAGAGCCTTTTGGAAGAGCCTTCCCAAGGGAAGGGCTCCCCTTCCCCCAGAGGGCTCCCCTGGCAGGGGTGCACTGCTGGAGCTGCTGTTAAAACCAGAGAGCCCCCACGTTTTCCAGCGCCACTGGAGGTGGGCACAGCTGGCACTGAGCTGTGGGGGGCCTGATTCCAGAGGGTCCCCAAATGCATCCGGCACAGGACCCGAGCAGGGCAGGGAGAGGGACCCCCCGTGGGACACGAATGGCTGTCACCTGAGCAAGGGGCACAGGTACCCGCCAGGTGAGTGAGACCCCCAGATCCAGTTGCAGCAGCCCCAGTTTGGTACCCCCGAGGTGGTGCCACCAGGATGGCACTGCCGAGGGCACCGCAGGGAGATGGAGGCTGGAACGACCCCGCGCTCCCCTGGGACACAAAGGGACACTTTGTCCCTCACAACACAGCCTGGAATGTCACCTGCTGTGCCAGCACCACGTGGAGGTTTGGTGGGAAAAGACTTTCCAAGGGAAGGGCTGCCCTTCACCCGGAGCTCCCTGCACCTCGCCGGGCCCCTGGCACCCACTGGGTGACACCGGTGACACTGCTCAAGGTGGCTCTGTGCTGTTGTGGGGCTGCACCTCAAAGGGCAGTGTGACACTGGAGATTCTGGGTCACCTCCTGCTGTAACTTCACATTTCAAAGCTTTATCGGGGTTTGTGCCCAAATCTCGGACTCCAGTTTAGAGGTTTTTGGACTAGTTTGGTTTCAGGGCCGGGTGGGTGAGGCAGGAACGGGGCTCAGTGGGCACAGGTCAGGCTGTGTCCTGTGTGGGGGATGTCACAGATCACCCTCCTGACCCTCCCACCCGTCAGGGACCGCCCACGGCTCCGACACGGGACAACATCTGGAGATCCTTCGGAATGAGAAGCGCTAGAGGAACACACGTCGCTGTCGTTCAGGAGCACACACGGAGGGTGAAACCCAGGACTGGGCACAGCAGCGTCACGACAGCGCCAGACAGGAGGGACACGGAGCCACGGCAGGGAGGGAGAAGCGACAGCGACTCGCGACGTGTGCGAGGAGCCGATCCCACCATCCCACGGCTCCCGGGAAGCTCCCGGGAAGCTCGTCCCGGCACTGCTGCCGAGCTCCTGCCGCCTCTGAAACGCCCCTCAGAACACAGCCCGGGTACTCAGCACAGCCACACCCCCCCACGCCCCGACCCTCCCCGCGCCCCGGCCGGCGCCGGCGTCTTACCGTGCCGCGACCACCGGCGACTTCTTCCCGGGATCTAAGGTGGACCCGGCCGGTTCCTCCCCCAGTGATCGTGTATCCTTGTTCAGCTGCTGGAGTCGGGAACTTAGCTCACTGATCACAGTTGGCTTGTCATCGTCAGCCCCATGGATGGGCCTGCTCTCCATGGGGTCCCCCCATAGCTTGGACCTTCTCTGAAAGAGGTAGCGTGGCCGGCCGATGCTGGCGGACGCCAGCGTGGCCGCATGTTGCTGGGAGATGAGCTCGCTGTCCGAAGACTGCTTCAAAAGTGGGTCCCTGAAAGTAACTGGCCCCTTGCTGAGCTGGGACTTGAGTTTTGGCTTTGGAGGCACTGGTGGCTTCTCGAGTATAAAAGTTTGTCCATCCGCAAAGGAAGTGTACGTGTCGGTGGGCTCCCCGCTCTCTGAGGACAACGTAGACATGCTGGAGACCGTGGAGATGGTGCTTGTGGTCTCCAGGTGATGGTCGCTCGAACTTCTGGTGTCCACCTCTTCCACTCCCGAGTCCGCGGCGGACTCCGGGGCTGCGGGGGCGTCGGAGGGCTTCCCTGAGGGTGTTCCGCCAGTGGTAGAAGGTGCTACTGCTGCCGCTGGTATGGATGGCGTGCTGGGCGTAGCCAGGTGGCTCACGGGTGTGCCGGGGGTGGTCACCAGGACCCCGTTCGCAAACTCGTCCGGTGGAGGCACCAGCCCTATCTTGGCCAGCTCCTCCCTGGTCTCCTCGTCGCTGGAGGACAGCTGGGCCGGCGGGAGCGTGACCGTGTAGGGCTCCACCTCCTCCTCCGAGCTCCCCTGGCCCAGCGCCTTGTCGGCGGCGGGACTGACCGGAGGCTTCCCCACGGGGCTGGGCTGGGGCTCTGCCTTGGGGGGCTCGGCCGGCTCCGTGCAGACTTCGGGGACGGCCGGGGTCTCCTCTTTTATCTCAAGTCCTATCTCGTCTTGGCCATTACTGGTGGCGTGGACCATGATGAGGCCGGCGGTCTTCTGCTGCGACGTGTCCACGATGCTGATGATCATGGACTTCTTGTCCTCCGGTTTCTTCTCCTCCTTCCCCGGGGTCTCCGCTCGGGCCTCGGTCTCTTTCCTCAGTGTGGACGGAGTCCCCCAGGGGCTCTTGGCGGGGGCCAAAGTCCCAGAGTCCGCTCCGATCGCTCCGATCGCTCCGATCACTGCTTTGCCTCCGGGGGAGTACGCGGGGGACACCAAGCTCTCCAAGTCGCCCCTCTCTGGTTCTTTGGTTTGGATGTCCACGAACAGGGGTGCTGCTCTGTCTGAGTCGGGGCTGTGGATCGGGGTGGGCGACCGGGATGGGACTTGGGTGGACAGGGCCCGTTCCCTTGCGGCCAGCGCAAGCGCCAGTGGGGAGTTCGGATCCAGGGGCTTTCCCGTGAGGGGGTGGATGAACGTTGAGGATGAGCTGCTAATTAATGGCTTTAAAGCTGAGACGGGGGAAGGCAGTAGAACATCTCGGCTTCCTAACAACCGCTCATCGATGGACCTGGACTGCTGCAGGGACGGCATCTCGCTGGGCGGGGGGGGCGTCCCCTCGATGGCCCCGACCGAGAGGAAGACAGTGGATTTCCGCCTCTCATCCAGGCGACGGTCTCGGTCCTTCATGACGCCAGCGATGGCAGTGGCAAAGGGGATGCTCGTGGCTTCGACCTGAGCGATGCCGGCGTGGTGCTGGTACTCCACCCCGCCCAGGCGGTGGCCCCGGCGGGTGGGCGAGGGCTCCCTGCTGAAGCCGCCGGTGATGGCCAGCGCCGCCCGCTCCTGCGCGTCCTCCACCTGCAGCTGCTTCACCAGCGGGCTCTTCTTCCTCTGCGGCTTGGTGGGCGCGAACAGGCTCACGTTGAACTGCCCCATGTTGGCGTAGGGGTTGTCGATGACCCTCCCCTTCCGCTTCAGCTTCTCCGGGGGGGTGGCGGACGGGCCGGGCCGGGGGATCTCCGTGGGCTCCACGGGGAGGTGAGAGGAATCCTGGAGGATTATCATGGATCGGGCCCTCTTCTGCCGCTCGGGGTAAGGGATGGACGTCCTGGCCTGGTCGTACATCTCGGCCGCGCTGATGACCTGCGGGAGGCCGTGCAGTTTGGCCTCCAGGCTGGGCTTAAAGCTCGACCTGATGGTGTCGTAAGCTCTTCCCGGGGGCGGGGGTGGCGAGAAGGATGGAGGGGGGCCTGTGTCGAAGTAATATGGAGAAGGAGGCGGGGGTGGGGCTGTTTGGGGTGGCGGTGGAATCCCATGTCCTTCCCTAACAGTGTCTTGCATGGATGTGCTCCGGGGAAACTTCCCGTCGAGCAAAGAAGCAGCAAGTTTCTCGTCTTCACCTGGAAAACAGGGGGAACGGCGACGTCAGAGACTCAGGGACGCTCCCTGAGAACCCAGAGTGCCACCAACCTGGGGGGGGGGGTCAGTCCCCCCACCCCAGCTTCTATCTGAGGTGACTTTTCATCTTTTCAAGCCAGGCTGGAAGGGGCTTGGAGCAACCTGGGCTAGTGGAAGGTGTCCCTGCCCAGGGCAGGGGGTGGCACTGGATGGGCTTTAGGGTCCCTTCCCACCCAAACCATTCTGTGATTCCAGGTTGGATGGGGCTTGGAGCAACGTGGTCTAGGGGAAGCTGTCCCTACCCATGGCCAGGGGATGGAATGAAATCGGCTCTAAGATCCCTTCCAACCCATTCCATGACTCCTGGAGCATTTCCATCCGGAAATGCATCCTCGTCCCTCGGAGCAGCCACGACATCTCCCACCGGTTCAGTTCCCACCGGGGGGGGGGGTTGTGCCCAACCCTTCCCTGCCAGGCTGAGCCCTCTCCAGTGACAGGGCTGCAGATGAGCTCCCTCAGCCCTCCCGGCACCACCTGCCGAGGTGCCAGACAGCCGAGTGCCAGCAGCACCCGCCGCGGCGTCGCCCCGGCACGGGCTCCGCACGCGCCGCTCCCCTCACACCTCCCGACTCCCCGAGGGGCTACATATGTTCCCATGTGCCAGACTGAGCTCAGCGGGGTCTAGCAGGAACTCGAGCGACGGATTTTGAGCGTTGGAAGAGCCCGAAGAAGGAGGATTCCGTCGCTCTTACTATGAACCGGCTCCCCGGGTGCGCAGCCAGAGCTCTGCCAAGTACTGGGAATGCTCTGGGAAAGACTGGGAGGATTTTAAGGTAAGGGGAGGAAAAACTGGGGGTTGGAATCAGATGACCTTAAAGTGCCTTCCAACCCAAGCCATTCTAAGCAATTCCATGATCCTACAATCCATTAATACAACAATCCCCCCCTCCACACTCCAGCCTTTGGCCTCAGCTCCCCCCCCCCATCCCACCCCCAATTCCCTGTGCTCACCCCTCGCTCGCCAAAACTCCTTCCCAGCCCCTGTTCCGCTGCTCTCAAGGTCTCAAACCGCTCCCAAGAGGATTTCTTTTGCCTCTAAAGCTTTTCCTTTCCAGAAAATGCTCCTCCTGCACCGTCCACCGGCACCAAAGAGCTCCGGCAACCGCGCCCGGCGTCCGTCAGCAATTCCACCCAAGGCAGAGTCCAATGGGGACAAAAGGGAGGATTTTGGCACTGGACTTTCATCCCATGCTGTTGTTCGTGCTCAAAGCCGGGCTATTTTTGTGGAACAGTTTGGGGATTTGCAATCCCGAGGCGGGATAATGAACTGGCAGCACGGAACAGGTTCAAAGGGAGCCTGGACAAAGCCACGGAGGAGCTTTTTCGGAGCTATTCTGTGCCCTGAACCCCCTGAGCGCTGAGAATTCAGGAGAATTATCTCATCTGTGCCCTGTTTTCCCTCCCCCCCCCGGGAATCTGCTTGGCAGCAGTGCCTGGGATGGGATCCTGCACTAGATGGAGCCATGGTTTGATTCGGGAGAGACGTTGTCGTGCTCTCGGCAGCATCAAGATCCAGAAAACCAGTCCTGCCTTTTGTGGTTATTTCTGGGAACGGCCAGGAGTTGAAACAAGGGTATTTGGGCAGCACTGAGCTCGGTTACCGTGCCCGGGTTGTCACAGGACACGGCCCAGTGCCAGGAGAGCTCATCCTGGGAATGAGCTGCCCGGCCTGCAGATGGGCATGGATGTGCCAAGCACGGAGCTACTGCAGGAAATCCACTGGAGAAGCTGGATCTTCCTCCTGGAATGCCCTGGTCATGGCTGCCGGAGCAGGGGTGACGCTGGGACACCACCAGATCCCATCTCTCCTCCACGTTTTCTTAAATGAGGGGGGACACTGTGGAAAACCTGCCAGTGCCTTCGATAAGGCACTGCCATGGGCAGGGACACTATGGAAAACCACACCCAGGGCACTGCCATGGGCAGGGACACTATGGAAAAGCACACCCAGGGCACTGCCATGGGCAGGGACACTATGGAAAAGCACATCCAGGGCACTGTCATGGGCAGGGACACTATGGAAAACCACACCCAGGGCACTGCCATGGGCAGGGACACTATGGAAAAGCACATCCAGGGCACTGCCATGGGCAGGGACACTATGGAAAAGCACATCCAGGGCACTGCCAAGGGCAATGACCAGCCAGACATCTCAGAAGGACCTTGATGGGAATGGACCAGCAGGAACACCACGAATCCCAACAAGGACAGGCACCAAATGCCACATCTGATCCGTGTCCCTGGAGGGAGAGACCAGACTTGGATAAAACCCTGAGGAACATGATCTGTGTCCCAGCTGACCCTGCTTAGAGCTGATGGTTGGACTGGAAACCTCCTGCTTCCCACAGGAATTCTCCCTTGATTTGCCCCAGCGCCGGTTCCCAAGCTGGCAGTGGATACGAGCCTGTGCCTTGGAATAGAGGAACGTTCTCTATTCCCTGGGAAAACAAACATCTCCTGTTGCTCCTCAGCGAGAAAACCACCACTGAGGATTGCTCAGGGATGGGAGAGGTGGGAGGGAAGAGAACCTTGGCAGGTTCTTCCTTCACTACCTGCGAGTGCCGGTGCTGCCGAGCCTGTGCCGAGCCCGAGTAAACAAGCACAGCCTTACTCATCCCCCTCCCTCCTCCCCCCACGCTCTGCTGATGACTCTGTCTCCAGCCCCCCCTTCTCCAGCTCTGCTCTGGTCTCACAGATCACAGAATCATGGAATTGTTAAGGCTGGAAGAGCCCTGTGAGCCCATCGAGTCCAACCGTCCCCAGCTCTGCCGAGGCCACCACTGACCCCTGTCCCCAAGTGCCACATCCACAGGGCTTGGAAATCCCTCCAGGGATGGGGACTCCCCCCCTGCCCTGGGCAGCTGTGCCAGGGCTGGAAAACCCTTTCCAGGAAGGAATTTTCCCAGTATCCAACCTGACCCTCCCCTGGCCCAGCCTGAGGCCGTTTCCCCTTGGCCTGGCCCTTGTTCCCTGGCAGCAGAGCCCGACCCCCCCCGGCTCCCCCCTCCTGGCAGGGACTTGCAGAGCCAGAAGGTCCCCCCTGAGCCTCCTTTGCTCCAGGATGAGCCCCCCCAGCTCCCTCAGCCCCTCCTGCTGCTCCAGCCCCTTCCCAGCTCCCTTCCCTTCCCTGCACACGCTCCAGCCCCTCCAGGTCTCTCCTGCCTGAGGGCCCAGAACTGCCCCCGGGATTCCAGGGGGGCCTCCCCAGTTCCCAGCACAGGGACAATCCCTGCCCTGGGCCTGTGCCCACGCTGGGGCTGCCACAGCCCCGGGGCCATTGCCCTCCTGCCCCCCTGGGCACAGCTGGGCTCACGTCCAGCAGCATCCCGGGCACACCAAGCCCAGCCTGGACCAGCAGCTCCTGCCTGAGGAGGCAGGGGAGACACAGGGATGGGCAGAGCTGCCCAGCCCTCCCAGCCAGCCCTTGCTTTCCAGCCACTGCCAGTGAGGAGCAGCTGAGTCAGGCCTCGTGTCTCACCCTGGCACCACTCGCTCTCCCCAGCCCTTGGCAGTGCTCCTTGGATCTGGGCAGGATTCCCTGGAGCACCGAGCTCGGAGCCACCACGGAATGGGGGGGGCTGGGAGGGACCACCAGAGGTCATTTGGTCCAACCCTCTGTTCCAGTGAGGGTCCCTAGAGCATGTTACTCAGGGATGTGTCTGGATGGCTTGGGAATATCTCCAGGGAAGGAGATTCCACAGCCTCTCTGGGCAGCCTGTGGCAGTGTCACCTGGACAGAAGTTCTTCCCTAGAGAATCCCAGTGGGAAGGGACCTCAGAGACACCCAGTGCCACTCCTGCCATGGGCAGGGACACCTTCTACTAGCCCAGGTTGCTCCAATCCCCATCCAACCTGGCCTTGGACACTTCCAGGGATCCAGGGGCAGCCACAGCTTCTCTGGGCACCCTGTGCCAGGGCCTCTCCAGATGCCAGACAAGGTTTTGTCAGGATTATGTGAATTCTCCTGTTCACATCCTCCACCCCTCCCAGTCCTGTACAGAACAGTGTCCAGGAGAGAAGGACATTCCCCACCAATATTTAAATGCAACCACAGGGACAGAATGAAGCCTCTCCCCGAGCAGAGAGGGAGGGACACCAGAGGACCCTCCTGGCCCAGGTTGCCCAGAGAAGCTGTGGCTGCCCCTGGATCCCTGGGAGTGTCCAAGGCCAGGTTGGACAGAGCTTGGAGCAACCTGGGCTGGTGGAAGGTGTCCCTGCCCATGGCAGGGGTGGGACTGGATGGGCTTTAAATTCTCTTCCCACCCAAACCACTCCAGGATTCTGTGATTCATTCCTGGATCCCAATCCAGCTGTTGCTCTTCCCTGTGCCCCAGGAAAACACACGGTGTCTGAGTCCTTCCCTTCCTGCCACCGAGTGCTCCCAACTCCCCCAGACCTCACAGATGTGGAACCTTGTGAGCTACTCCAGGCCCTCACAGGGATGGGGGAGGTGGGAATGACCCCTGGGAAAAGGCAGCACCTCTCTGTCCCAAATGGAACGATCCCCCATTGGATCCTCCCCCCGCTCTTGATCCATCCCCGGGAAGGTTAAACCTCAGTGACCAATAAACAGACTCATCTCTTGGCTTCTTTCCATGGAATTTGGGCCCTCAGCTTCCCTAAAACACCACACACCGTCCCCAGAGCAGTGGGACACACACACAGTCCCAAAGGAGCAACAGGGATCAAAAATGGAGGTCGACACACACGGGAATAAAGAGTTGGAGTCCAAACGGAGCCTCCGGCCACCAGTAGGGCCCAGTAAGGACCAGTCCTGCCCCCCAGCACTCAGAGGGCCTGCTCTGCAGTGGGAATTGTGCTCCCAGGTGCAGCCTGGCTCCTGGCAACCCCCCCTGCCATTGCCAGCAAGCTCCATGCATTACTAATCTCCCAGGAAAACACAAAGCCTTTCCATGATGCCTCTGGGCCTGTTGCCATAACAGCCTTAAATCCCTGGGAGAACCTGCCTCTGCATTAATTGGGGCTGGCTAATGAGGTGGCTCCATCCAGGGCCCACCCCTCTGCTCCCAGCCTTGCTTTCCAGCAGCAGGGATGGAGGAGCAGCTCCCAAACCCAGCCCTGGCAACAGGAAGGTGCCAAGTTCCACAGCTTCCCTTGTGTCCAGAATTTTGGAAAGTGGGAGAGTATCACCATCCTCTGGTGCCCAGGGATCAACATCTCCTTCCTCTGGTGCCCAGGACTGGCACAACCCCCAGTCTGGCCAAGCAGGAGACACTTGGCATCCAAGGAGGTGTTTTCACTGAGGGTGGGAGGCCCTGGCCCAGGTTGCCCAGAGAAGCTGTGGCTGCCCCTGGATCCCTGGAAGTGTCCCAGGCCAGGTTGGACGGGGCTTGGAGCAACCTGGGCTGGTGGGAGGTGTCCCTGCCCGTGGCAGGGGTGGCACTGGATGAGTTTAAGGTCCCTTCCCACCCAAACCATCCCATGATGATCCTCGATGTCAATTTGAACACCATGACAGCACCTGGGCACGATGGGGCATCTTCCCCCCACAGCCCTGGGGACCCTCCCCCTTCCATCCCTGCAAAACCACCTGTCTACATCCCCTGGAATTCGCTCCGGGAAGAGCCTGGGTGGCTCTGCAGCCTCTCCAGCGTTTCCAACTCCTGCTGCCGGAGCAGATGGTGTGGCAGCTCTCTTGGAAGCCTGACAGGGATTATCTTCCCTCCCAGCCTCCCCACTGCAATGCACTTCTTCCCATTTTGGTGGAAATATTCCTCTCATCCCGCTTCCCTCGGAGCCAGGCGGGGGTTAACCAACTACCTTCATCTCGGGCAATTTTTAGCTCTAACACGAGAAATCTTTTGATCTTTTCCTCACGAGTCCCCGGGAATCTGAAGCAGCTGTGGAATATGCAAATGCCACGGAGCTTTTCTCCCCCCCAAAAATCCACCCAACCACCCAACCAACCCCTGCTTATTTTCCAGCTCCCTCCTCGCTGGCAGTAGTGATTTTTATCATGAAGTCAAACTGCCTGTGCCGGGCTGAGCCGCTGCCGTGGGTGGGGAATGACAGCTCAAGGACTTCTAAAAGGAGCCAACTGCAACCCAATTTCTCCGCTTTGGCTCTCTGCTATTTTAGCTCCTCTGGAATTCCACGGGAATCAGCCTCAGGTTTCTCAGAGGTGCTGCTTTGGGTGTGCTCCGTGTCCCCCCCCCGGCAGGGATTGTCCCTCGGTGGGGACAGGCACGGCAATCCCGGCGGGAACATCGCCGGAGCAACGTGGGGTTTTTTTCCCTGGATTTCTTGCTGGGATGTGCTGTGACAGCTGCAGCTATTCCTGCTCTGAGCAGGGCATCTCCCACTCGGATTTCATCTCTCCTGATGCAGATTAAAGGGGGGTTTTTAATCGCTTGTTGCAGGGGGGGTGTGGCTGCACCAGCCAGGTTTCCCTGGATTTCTTGCTGGGATGTGCTGTGACAGCTGCAGCTATTCCTGCTCTGAGCAGGGCATCTCCCACTCGGATTTCATCTCTCCTGATGCAGATTAAAGGGGAGTTTTTAATCGCTTGTTGCAGGGGGGTTGTGGCTGCACCAGCCAGGTCAGGGCACCAACAAACCAGAGGTCCAGGGGGACCCTGCACTCTGTGCTCAGGAGTGTGATCCCAGAATCCCTGAGGTTGGAAAAGCCCTCCCAGCCCATGGATCCACCCCGGGCCCCATCCCCACCTTGTCCCCCAGCCCAGAGCACTGAGTGCCACGGCCAGGCCTTCCTGGGACACCTCCAGGGCTGGGCACTCCAAACCTCCCTGGGCAGCCCCTGCCAAGGCCTCCCCACCCTTTCCAGCAACAAATTCCTCCTCAGCCCCAACCTGACCCTCCCCTGGCCCAGCCTGAGGCCGTTTCCCCTTGGCCTGTCCCTTGTTCCCTGGCAGCAGAGCCCGACCCCCCCCGGCTCCCCCCTCCTGGCAGGGACTTGCAGAGCCAGAAGGTCCCCCCTGATCCCTACAGACATCCCAACAAATCTCACACTGACACAGACCCAGCTTCAGATCCCGCCTTTTGCTGCCTCTACTTGCAGAGATCCCTGGCAGGACCTGCACAGCCCAGTGAGGGCTTGGAGGGGCTTCCTGAGGCACCAACTGCACTCAGGAGCAACTCACGGGCAAGGATTCTGTATTTCACAGAATCGTGGAATGGTTTGGGGGGAAGAGACCTTAAACTTGTCCAGTTCCACCTCTGCCACGGACAGGGACACCTCCCACTAGCCCAGGTTGCTCCAACGTGGCCTTGGACACTTCCAGGGATCCAGGGGCAGCCACAGCTGCTCTGGAAAATCCATTCCAGTCCCTCCCCACCCTCCCAGCCAGCAATTCCTTCCCAATATCCCACTCAACCCTGCCCTCTGGCACTGGGAAACCATTCCCTGTGTCCTGTCCCTCCAGGCTTTGTCCCCAGTCCCTCTCCAGCTCTCCTGGAGCCCCTTTAGGCCCTGCCAGGGGCTCTCAGCTCTCCCTGGATCCTTCTCTTCTCCAGGGGAACTCCCCCAGCTCTCCCAGCCTGGCTCCAGAGCAGAGGGGCTCCAGCCCTGGCAGCAGCTCCATGGATGTTTTCCCAGTCCATGATCCATCCCTGGATTCCACACAACAGATCCCTTTAACACGATTTCCAGCTCTTTGGGGTTGGACTGAACCTTCAACAGCCTCTGCTTTTGAAGCATTTCCTCACTCTCACCCCTGAACCAACCACCCAGGACCCGGTTTGGGAACCCACCCCTGTCCCCCACAACCCCTGGATCCTCCTCCCAGCCCATGGCACTGGGGCAGGATCCACCTCCAAGAGCAAGAACGACATAAATCAGACTGAAAGTCCCAGTTCCTCTCTGGTCACCGTGGAAGGTTTGGGACACCAGGCTTGGATGGGGTTTTTCCATGTTCCCAGGAGACAGATTCAATCCTGCACATCCTGCACCATTTTACCCCATTTTATCCAATTTCCAGCTCAACCCTCCAGAGCCTTGGGCACTTTCAACCCATGGAAGTCACAGCAGGAGCTTCCCCAACACGGGGCAGCCCCTGAAATACCCAGTTTTCCTGTTTTTTTTTGTTTTTTTTTTTTTTTTAAGATTCCTTCTCCTATTTTCTTTCTCAGGTTAATCCCACAGATTTGATTATCTCAGCTCCATCTCCTGTGGAACTTCAGGTACTGGCTGCCCCCATCCCAACCTGTCCCAGGTGTGTATCCACAGAAATCCTGGGGCTCTGGACATTCCCAAGCACCCTTTGAACACCCTTATTCCATGTGTTAAACACACAATTTGATTTGGCATCGCCCTCACAACCAAATGATGCTGTGGGGGGTCACTTCCAATTATCCCTTTCCATGGAGCACATCCCTGGGAAGGAATTCCTGGCTGGGAGGGTGGGCAGGCCCTGGCCCAGGTTGCCCAGAGCATCTGTGGCTGCCCCTGGATCCCTGGAAGTGTCCAAGGCCAGGTTGGACAGGGCTTGGAGCAGCCTGGGCTGGTGGAAAGGTGGGTTTGGGTTTGGTGGCACCATAAACCTGTTGGAACAGGGTCAAGGACACACCACAGCTGGTTTTTGGGTTTGGTGGCACCAGAAACCCTTTGGGACAGAACCAAGGACCCACCACAGTCAGTTTTGGGTTTAGTGACACCATAAATCTGCTGGAACAGGGTCAAGGACCCACCACAGCTGGTTTTTGGGTTTGGTGTCACCATAAATTTGTTGCACTGGGGTCAAGGACCCACCACAGCCGGTTTTTGGGTTTGGGGGCACCATGAACCTTTTGGACCCACCATCAAGGACCCACCACCGCCGGGTGCCCGCTCCAGACCTTGTCCTGCTTCTCCTAAGCCACAGCTCAGCTGGTTCCTGCCCCACGGCTCAGCCCGTGCCAGCCCAGGGGTGACATTCCAACCCTCCATCCCATGTGCCAAGAGGGAGGGTGGCAGAGCCCCCCTGTCCCTGGCAGAGCCCCCTGTCCCTGGCAGAGCCGAGCAGGGAACCCCTGGACTGCTCCAACCCCACCTCCCACCCCGAGCAGGACCAGGCAGCCCTGGAAGCAGGAATTCCCCGGGACGCTCCCACCTCACAGAGCTGGAAAGGGCTGAGCCTTTCCTGCCCACGGGGCCCATCCTTCCTCTTCCCAAAGGGATTTCCCCCCCCCAGGTTGTCTTACCTACGGATTTTGTCCGTGGAATTCCTTTGCGCAGGGAAACGTGGGGCTTCTCAGCTCCCGCCAGGACCCCCGAGTGTGCTGCCATGCCCTGGCGTTCAAAGAGGGACTGCAAGGCAAAACCAGGGAATTCCCATTCCTGAGATCGGCCAGAGCCAGCTGGGAGGAGCCCACAGTTCCCCTCAGCCCTCCTGACCCTCCGACTGAGCCCGGGAAACGGGATCTGCCCACCCAGCCCTGTGCCCGGGGACAGGGATGGACCCCCCTCACCTGCACCTTCCCCTGCACCAGGAACCTGCTGGGACAGGGCCAAGGACCCACCACACCTGGGGTTTGGGCTTGGGGGCACCAGAAACCTTCTGGGACAAGGTCCAGGACCCACCAGAGCTGGTTTTAGGGTTTGGTGGCACCACGAACCTTTGGGGACAATGTCAAGAATCCTCCTCTGGTGAGATCTGGTGCAGCTCTCTGGTGAGATCTGCACTTCCCCGTCCTTGCTCCTGCCCCACCCCTGGTCTCCAAACCCTGGGATGTTGCCCTTGGCAGGGTTATCCCCCCCATCCCCTCTCCCTGCCTGCTCCGTGCCCAGGGTGGCACAGTGAGGGTGACTCCCACGGGCAGCCCGTGCCCGGTCAGGACCTGCCTGTCCCACCTTCCCTCCCGCTCCAGCTGCTGCTTCCCACCCCCTGCAGCCCTGGGACAATCCAGACATGCTGGAGCTGGCACAGCCCCTCCTGCTCCCTCCCTGTTCCCTCGCCTCTGATCCCATCCCAATCCCAGCCCCCCATCCCGAGGGCTCAGCGCTCCGGCTCAGCTTTCCACGCTCCTTCAGGCCTGCTCTTATACCCTTCCTGGGAAATTCAGCCATGTTCCCAGGCCTGGATGGGGTTCCGAGAGAGCTGAAACCCCCCCTCAGCCCCAGCTCCTGCCCTGTGCCTTGGTGTTCCAGACTCTCTCCCTCCCTATTCCTGGGGAATCCCCCTCCCTATTCCTGGGGAATCCCCCTCCCAGCACAAGCCCATCAGCAGCTCCACTCGGCACCACGTGTTCTCCCCTCCCTCTCCCTCTGTGTCCTCTCCTCCCTGTCCCTCCCTGTCCTCCCATCCCTCTCTCTCTGTGCCCTCCCTTCCCTCCCTCCCTCCCCTCCTGTGCTATTCCTCTCCCTCTGTGCTCCCCATCCCTCTCCCTCCATGCCTTCCTATCCCTTTTCCTCCATGTCCTCCCATCCCTCTCTGAGTCCTCCCTTCCCTCCCTCCCTGTGTCTTCTCCTCCCTCTCCCTCTGTGCCCCTCCATCCCTCTCCCACCATGTCCTCCCATCCCTCTCCCTCCATGCCTTCCCATTCCTCTCCCTTCATGTCCTCTCCTCCCTCTCCTTCCATGCCTTCCCATTCCTCTCCCTTCATGTCCTCTCCTCCCTCTCCCTCTGTGCCCTTCCTTCCCTCTCCCACCATGTCCTCCCATCCCTCTCCCTCCATGCCTTCTCATTCCTCTCCCTCCATGTCCTCTCCTCCCTCTCCCTCCGTGTTCTCCCATCCCTCTCTGTGTCCTCGCTGCCTCTCCCCCCACTCCCTCCTATCCCTGTCCCTCCCTCCCTGCCCTGGTTGTCCGTGTCCCTCACACTGATCTCTGCAGGGGTGATCCTCCGGCTGGTTGGTCTCTGTTTCACAGTGGCTGCCCTGGAATCTGCTTCCACGATCTCCGCCCTCAGCGCCGGCTCTGCGGCCGCCAGGATCTCATCCAGCTTCTCTGCAATCCAAGGGGGAGAGCCGAGGGGTCAGGGAGGGCCAGGGGACACCTCCCCTCCGACAGCCCCGAGCAGGGAGCGGCAATCCCTGCGGGAGCGCGGGGAGCTCGTCCTCTCCTCCCCAGCCAGCAGCTTTCCAAGGATTTGGGGGGGTTTGGGATCCCGCTCGGCTCAGGGCGGCACCGTGCCATGCCATGCCATGCTGGGCCACCTTCCCACCCCATCCTGGCGGTGCCTGAGCCGGGCTCTGACCTGCCAGCACCCGAGGGGCCGCTCCTGGCTGTGCCACATTCCAAGGAATCCTCCATCTCACACGGAAGAGCAAATTTTTCCCAGATTTATTTTTGATACTCGGGATGAGCTGAGTTTCCCCGGGCGGGCAAAGGAGGAGTGGGAGGTGATGGGAAACCCGGGTGCCACAGGGACCATGGACACGTGGATGTCCATGGGATTCCACGAGGCTCCAGCACAACCAGTGTCACTCCAGAGTCTGGGAAAAACTGGGATGTGTCCATCTGAGTGGACTCAGGTGCCTGAATGGCCCCGACATTCCGTGTCCCCAGCACAACCAGTGTCACTCCAGTGTCTGGGACAAACTGGGATGTAACATCCTGGACCTCTCCAGCTCTCCTGGAGCCCCTTCAGGCACTGGAAAGGGCTCCAAGGTCTCCCCAGCTCCTTCTCTTCCACTCCAGAAAGAGCATCCCGGAGCCATCTCTGCTGGGCCAAACGGGGACTAACAGATCCTGGACCTCTCACCCAGGACCCTGGGGTGGCCCCCCTCAGGCACTGAAGGGCTCCGTGCCCAGGTCTGCAGCTCCTTCTCTTCGGGGGTCCCTCCAGAGTCCATCCTGGAGCCATCTCTGCTGCCAGGACACTCCAGAGGATTGTCCTCACCCAGGAGACCCTGGGGTGGCCCCCTCAGGGCACTGAGGGATGTGCCCAGTGCAGGGGAGGGTCGGGGGTCCCTCAGAGTCCCCCCACACCTCATCCCTGCCCGGCTGCCTCCCTGTCCCCCCACCACTGCAATGGAAGAGCTGGTTCCTCACATTCCCAGCTCCTCGGGGAGCAGGAGCAGGAACAGGAACCCCCAGGACAGTTTTGCCTCTGAAGGGTCAGAGCTGAGCTGAGGCCTCCAGGGCTCCCTCCCCTCTGCCCCAGGGCTGTGCTGCGGGAACACGGAGCTGGATGAGCCTCCGGCTCCTTCCCCATTGTCCATTCCTGGCTCTCGGCCCTGGCAGGAATCCCAGAATGGTTTGGGTTGGAAGGGACCTTAAAGGCCACCCAGTTCCAACCCCTGCCAGGGGCAGGGACACCTTCCATCGAAAACCCCTGGTTTTGTCGCGTCCCTCCTGTGACATCCCCGGCACAGCCTCAGAGTGGGAGCAGTGGGAATGCCGGGAGCAGCGGGACAACCTGCCCAGGGGCAGGAGCAGAGATTTGGGACATTTGGGACAACGCTGGACATGGCACAGCCCCTTCCCCTGGACGGGGATCCCACCTGGGGACGTTCCTGCGCGAATTTTCCCCGCGGAGCAAACGCGGGGCAGGGATCGCCCCTGGGAACGGCAGCCTTTGGAATCTGGGGACAAACTGGCATCCTGCCCATGCCAAGGAGAGCCCCACACGGCCACCCTGTCTCCTGGCACCCCACCATGGCACTGGTGCCAACCCCGAGCTCCGGCTGCCACCGGGATGATCCCGCGGGACTCTGCGGGGACAGTGACCCCATCCAGCCCCTCGGGGTGCTGGGGTGCCCCTGCCTGGGTGCTGGGGGGTGCTGGGGGTGCTGGGGGTGCTGGCAGGGAAGGGAGGAGCCCCAGGATGTGCAGTTTCACTCACCCCCTTTCCTTCTCCGCATGGAGGCTTGGAATCAAGAAACAAAAGACAACATGAATGGCATGCACAGTTCCTGCTTCCAGCCCAGCTCCAGCCTGGCTGCCTGCCCTGCCTGCCCTGCCTGCTCCCCGTGCTGCCCTGCCTCTGGCACGCGGGCAGGAGCCGGATCCAGCCCGGGATGTGGAGCCTCTGCCGGGACAAAGGCTCGGCAGGGCGGGGGGGGCAGCGCCTTGTTGATCCCAGCCCTGGGATCCACCCATCCCTCACCCTCCTCGTGGGAGCAGGGAAGCAGAGGGAAGCCAGACCAGGAGCAGAGCTGGGTGCATTTGATGCCCAGGCAGCTCTTTCAAAGCTTTCAGTGCCTCCCTGCTCTCCACGGCCCTTCCCAAAGCCCTTCCCTGCATCCAGCACGGAGGGATTCTGGGACAGGAGTGCTTTGTTTGCAGCTTGCTGGGAATCTGCTCTTCCAAGGGGACTGGCATGACAGGCAGCAAGGGAATATTCAGTGGGGCTGTGGGTATGTGGGGTGTCCTGGGAGATGCAGGGAGGGACAGGATCCAAGGAAAACGGGGCAAGGAGCACCTGACAGAGCTCCCCTGGGAAGCTGCAGGTAGGAATGTCCCTTCACTGCCACCAGGGTCCCTTGGGAAGGGGAGAGGGCTCTAAGACACGGCCTGAGGTGCTGATCCACATGGAAACTCCCTCTGCAGGGTCAAGTGTGGGAGGGGGGATGATTCCCCATTTTCCCTGTGGGATACGAGGTGGGACATTCTCCAATCCACAGGGCTGAGGAAGGGACTGACCACTGCAATTCCTTGGGAACACGGGGGCTGACACCAGTCACTGCCTCCACATCCCTCTCCTGGGAGCCAGGGGGTTGATGCTCCCAATCCCTTTCCAGGTGGGACACAGCACACGGCTGGGAACGGCTCTCTGGGTCACAGCCAAGGGTGGGAGTGGGAACCCAGGAGTCTGGGATGGGTCTGGACACAGGGAAGGGTAAAAAGTGGAAGAAAGGGGCCGTTCCAAATGGATCCTGGTAAAGAGAGAGCCTTTGGCTTGGGAATAAAGGTCTGGAGACGCAGGGAGCAGATCAGGGTGGGAATAAGGGCAGAGAGAGCAGCGTAGAATAAACCACAGCTGGTGCCAACCCTGGAATGACCACGGCTGATTCCAGCCCTGGAATGCTGAGATCTGTCCCAACTGCACTGGATTTGGCTCCTCTGAGGAGCCCACAGGGTTGGGAATCCTGGTCACGCACCGAGGGCGGGAAGCAAGGAAGGACATGGAAAAACAGGGGGATGTGGGGTCCTGCCAAGGCTCCCGCGCTCCAGGGGGTCCCTCCCAGCTGGGACTGGACCCTGTGCCATGGCCACACCACCACATTCCCACAGGGAAAATCCCTAAACCCTCCTGGCGCAGGAGGGCACATTCCCACAGGGAAAATCCCTAAATCTCCACGGCAACAGCTCCTCTGGCTCTGCCGGTGCCCTCGGGGGTGGCAGCCTGTCCCCCCTCCTGTGCCAGCCCCGGCACCTCTCCTGGCAGAGCCAACCTGTGCCAGGGCACACGGATGCCCCAAAGTCTCCCCGGAATGGGGGTCCCTCCGTGGCCACCCCAAGGGGGTCTCTCCACATCTCCAATGCCCATCCAGCCACAAGGGCCACGTGGCCGCTGCCCCACTTGCCACCCTGTCCAGTGGCACCTCTGCCACCCTTGGGGAGAGGGGAGGGACCAAGGGGAGGGACCAGCCCCCCCCACACCGGTGGGTGACACTGGGGACACCCCCGGGGTGGCCACAAGGGCCGGGAGAACCGGGGTGGGGGTGGAGAGGCTTTCAGGGAATCTGGGAACACGGAGCTCCAGCCGGAGAACAAAGCAGCTGGAAACGTGGGCAGGCCGTGGAGTGGGAGCGGGTGGGCACGGCCGTGGGCACGGGGGGAGGGCAGAGAGGGGATGGCACCGCACCTGGAGCTCACCTGGAGCTCACCTGGAGCTCTCCTGGAGCTCACCTGGCACAGGGTGGGGGGAATAAAACCCTGGGGCTGCCGGGTGTGTGGGAGCAGGGGAGAGGGGAGGGATGAGAAAAGGGTGAGGAGAGGGATGAAGAGGGAGAGGGGTGAGGAGCAGGGATAACAGCGGGGGGAGGAAGGTGGAGAGCAGGGAGAGGAGTGGAGAGAGGAGAGGGGTGAGGAACAGGGTAAGGAGAGGGTGAGGAAGGTGAGGAGCAGGGAAAGGAGAGGGGTGAGGAAATGGGTGAGGAGCAGGGAGATGAGCAGGGAGAGGAAGGTAAGGAATGTGTGAGGAACAGGGTGAGGAGCAGAGAGAGGAGTGAGAAAGGTGAGGAGAATGAGGAGTGGGGTGAGCAGGGTGAGGAACAGAGAGGAACAGGGTGAGGAGCAAAGAGAGCAGGGGGTGAGGAAAGGGGTGAGGAAGGTGAGGAGCAGGGAGAGGGGTCGAGTGAGTAGGGTGAGGAACAGGGAGAGGAACAAAGAGAGGAGCAGAGAGAGGAACAAAGAGAGGAGCAGAGTGAACAGGGAGAGGAGCAGGGAGAGGAGCCCGGAGATGAGCAGGATGAGGAAGAGAGAGAGGGAGAAGCGAGAGGAAAAGGGTGAGGAGCAGGGTGAGGAGCAGGGTGAAGAACAGGGAGAGGAACAAGAGAAGAGCAGGGTGAGGAGCAGGGAGAGAAGCAAGGAGAAGAACAGGGAGAGGAACAGAAGAGCAGGGTGAGGAGCAGGGTTCGGAAGAGGATGAGGAACAGGGTTGGGAGCAGGGTTCCTGCCGGCCGGGGCCCGGGGGCGGCGAGCCCTCCACGAGCACACGGAGACACCCAACGTCCTCCCCCCGGCCGCCTCCGCGGGGATGCGACACCGGAGGGGTGGGTGGCTCTGGGGGGGGTGTCCCGCACCCCTAATCCTGCAGTCACGGGCTCCGAGCCCCCCACACCCCTCCGAGCACGACGGCACCTCCGGCACGGCGGGACAACGTGGCCCGGCGCTCCCGCTCATGCAGCTCTCCGGGAAAACGGGCACCGGGAGAGCTCCAGCCCCGGCTCCCCACGCCCCCCGTGCCCGGAGGAGCCCCCCGTGCCCGGCAGAGCCCCCCGCCCTTACCCAGCTCCTCCAGCTCGGCCGTCATGGACTTGGACCGCAGCGTCAGGGTGGTGCTGGGCGCTCTCTTGGGAGGCGGCGGAGCTGAAAGGAAGAGAGACGGCATTTTGCATTTCTTGTCCAGGAACTTACGAGGAGTGGCCAGATGCAGGTGCCACTTCTTCTCCACAGCCTGGATCTCCTCGTACTCGCGGGATGAGGAGTCGCACTGCTGCAGGATCTTATTGAGGCTGCGCGTGGAAGCGAACTTCTTCATGGTCTCGGTGCCACAGTCCCGGGCACGGGGCGAGGCCCCCGGAGCTCCCGCAGGAACGTGGAGCCCTCAGCCGAGGAGCAGAGTCCAAGTCATATCCCTGGGCTGCGCCTTCCCCCCTGCGGCCGCCGCGGAGGCTCCGGCCACGGGAGCCCCCCGCGAGTCGAGCCCGGCTCGGGCAGCGCCCGCCCGCGGGGGCTCGGCTGTCACGGCCCCGCCATGGCCGGCGGTGGGAGGGAGGAACGCGGCCGGTGGGGCCCGGCTCCGGCTGTCCTTCCTTCCTTCCTTCCCGCCTCGTCTGTCCTTCCCGCCTCGGCGCAGCCCCCGGAGCGCAGCCCACCCACCCTCCTCCGCCGTGCCCGGGGCCGGGACGATGCTCCGCTCGCTCCGGCCCTACGGCAGCGCTGGCGTCCGGCTCGGCGGCGACGGACAACCGGGACACGTGGCGGCCGGGCCGGGCCGTGGCAATGGCCCCGAGGGCTCCCTATCCCGGGCTGCCATGAGCCGCGAGCCCACCGGCACGGGGATGAGTTGAAGGCTCTTCCTCTTCACTTGGGTGCCTCCTCCTCCTCCTCGCTCGCTGACAATGCTGGATTCAACGCTCAGGCATTGCCATGGCAACTGGAGCTCCAGGCTCTGCTGCTGCATCAGGGACCCAACGGGGCGGATTCAGCCCGAGCCAGTCCCACACAGGCCCCCGGCACCCCGGGGAGGGGGCGAGGGGGGTCTGAGCCCCCCGGCCCCGCTGCAGACGGGGGATCCCGCACGGGGGACCCGGCTCCGGTCCCCGCACTCCACGCTGGAAGAGCGGCCACCCGGCTCCGGGCTCCGGGGATGGGCAGCAGGCACCGGGCAGTGCCAGGCGGCTGCTCCCCGGCTGCGGGGCTGGAAGCACCGGGAGAAGGGGCGAGTGGCACCCCCGGGGGTCCCAGGGCTGATTCCCGAGCTCAGCCTTTCTCACGGCTCCGCTTTTGTGCCGTGACAACATAATTGCAGCTCTCGGTGCCAGCGGAGCTGCTCCCTCCCCCTCGCCCCTCGTGCTGCGCTGGGAGCGCCCTGATCCCGGCCCCCTGCTCCCATCCCCCTGATCCCATCCATCCCTGTGCTCCCATCCCCCTGATCCCATCCATCCCTGTGCTCCCATCCCCCTGATCCCATCCACCCCTGTGCTCCCATCCCTGTGCTCCCATCCCCCTGATCCCGGCCCCCTGCTCCCAGCCCTGTGCTCTCATCACTGTGCTCCTATCCCTGTGCTCCCATCCCCCTGATCCCATCCATCCCTGTGCTCCCATCCCTGTGCTCCCATCCTCCTGATCCCAGCCCCCTGCTCCCATCCTTGTGCTCCCAGCCCTGTGCTCTCATCCCTGTGCTCCCATCCCTGTGCTCCCATCCTCCTGATCCCAACCCCCTGCTCCTATCCCTGTTCTCCTATCCCTGTGCTCCCATCCCCCTGCCCCTGGCCCCACCATTCCCGTCCCCCTGCTCCTGTCACCCCACTCCCATTCCCATGCTCCTGTCTCCCTCATTCCCATTCCCCTCCTCTTGTCCCTCCCGTTCCCATCCCCTGCTCCTGTCTTCCATGTTCCCATCTCCCTGCTCCTGACCCCTCACTCCCACCCCCCTTCTCCTGTCCCCTCCATCCCATTCCCAGTGTGGGATTCCCAGCCACAATCCCTCCAAAACCCCTCCTGCTGGATGTGGCCCTGCCCACCACAGCTGGATTCCAGGATGTCCCTCCCGGACACAGCCGTGTCTGTCTCCCATCCAGGTGTTCCTGCCTTCCCCACGTGGGTGTCCCCACCCCCAGGGGTGTCCCAGCAGGTGACCAGCAACCCTGGGACCACCAATCCCAAAGGAGCCCCCAGGGATGGGAGCAATTCCAGGACGGGGCAGCCACGGCTTCTGGGCAACCTGTGCCATGGCCTCCCCACCCTCACAGCTGGGAATTCCTTCCCAGTATCCCACCTAACCCTGCCCTCCTCCAGTTTAAGGCCTGCAGGGAAAACCACCTCAGTGTTGGTGCCAGGTTTCCGTGTGAGAGCCGGAGAGAACCAAGGTGCTCAAATCCCTGAGGAAGCACAGGCTCCATCCCGGCACCCCCTGAGCTCCTGCGGGCACCATCCTGCCCCCAACACCCCCGGGGCCTGTTCCCCACCCTGACACCCCTCAGGGAAGGGGGTCTCTGCTCTCCAGCACTGTGTGGAGCAGCTGATCCCAAGGAGTTGGCTCCAACCTTTGGGCACACACGGCTCCAGTGGGAAAACGGAGCCGGTGTCCTGCATCCCAGCAGTGGCTGGGATCTGCCAGAGCCCCCCCTGACCACCTGCATCATTTTATAACAACAGTAATTTTGTTTCCAAAATGAACTGTGTGTCCTGCCTGGATAAAACCAGCTTAGGTCAGGAACGTCCATCTTTCCAAGGAATACCGTTTTCCCAGATTTCAGCTTCCACTTTTCCATAACATTAAATTCTGTTGTCTTCAGCCTCACAAAAAAAACCCCAAAGGCTTCAAAACGCAACGGCAGCAGAATGCTCAGCTCTGTGAGAAGTATCTGCACCAGTGAAAATTAAAAGGGAGCCTGATGACTTTTCCTTCCTCCTGATCCACTCAGATCCCTGGTGTGGAACTGCAGGTTTTCCAGTGCCTGGCTTTGGAAAACCCGGGTTTAACGGGCTGTCAGGACAGAGTCTGCTCAGTGGCTGGTTGGTTAGGCGGGACTCAGTAGCTCAGGGGATGCTGAGCTTTACTCTGAGCTCTGCTGAGCTTTACTCTGAGCTTTACTCTGCCTGCTCTTCTCCCGGGACCATCCTCCCCACCCGCAGCCGTCGGCGCATCCCGGTGCTTCCCACTCGGAACTGTCTGGGCCTGGCACAGCCACATCACCCTTCCCAGCGCCCTCCCTCCTCACTGGTGCCACTGCAGACCCTCTGGTGGCTCCCACCCTTGGGTGACAGGTCCCCCCAGCCCGGGGAATCCCGGGATTCACACCTACCCTTCTTCCGAACCACCTCCTCCGACTCCGGCTTGCGGCTGACGGACACGACCTTCATCACCAGGTGGTTCCCCCCTTGCCGGATCAGGGACACCACCTGCTTGTGCCCCACCTTCACCACGTTCACACCATTCACCTGGGGCAGAGCAGAGACACGGTGAGAGCCGCCTGTCGGGAAAACTGAGGGATGTCATCCCCAAAAACACATTATTTTGCACCTTTCCCTGTGTTTTTTTCAGCCTGGGACTCACAGAAGTCACCTGCCAGTGACCACAACCTTCTGGAGGAGGTGGACATCCCCCTTGCAGCTGGGCCGACAAGGGAGATCAACTAAAAAATGGGTGTTTCCCAGTTTTTCCTGGGCACTAATTCATCCCTGGAAGGGTTCAACATCCCTGGGAGTGTCCAAGGCCAGGCTGGATGGGGCTTGGGGCAACCTGGGCTGGTGGAAGGTGTCCTTGCCCATGGCAGGGGGTGGGATGGATGGGCTTTAAGGTCCTTCCAACCCAAACCATCCCATGATTCCATGAGGCTCCTGGATCTGCAGGACTTGAGCTGTGCCTTGGGTGTTCCAGAGGTGCTGGAAGAGAGACTGATCCAACAGCTCTGAGGCACCAACCCAAAATAACCTGGAAAAGGCAACCTCAGCACTGGGGGATGGACCGAGGAGCCAGAACAGGGAGCAACCAGGGAACGAGGGACAGGACAAGAGGAAACAGGTCCAAGCTGTGCCAGGGGAGGGTCAGGCTGGACATTGGGAAAATTCCTTCCTGGAAAAGGCTGTCAGATGTTGGAAAGGGCTGCCCAGGGCAGGGTGGAGTCCCCATCCCTGGAGGGATTTCCAAACCCTGTGGATGTGGCACCTGGGGACATGGGGCAGTGGTGGCCTTGGCAGTGCTGGGGGATGGTTGGACTTGGTCTCATGGGCTTTTCCAACCTCAGTGATTCCGTGATTCCATGAACACAGGGGTCTCACAGACCCTCACTCTGGGTCACATTTCGGTGCTGAACTAAATTCTGAAATGGATCATCCCTGTTTCCAGAGCTTTGATGCTTTGGAAATAATCCTTTTACTTCACATATCCAATCATTCCATCGATCCAATTTTGTTCAGAATTGATTCCATAACAATTCCATTTTCACCAAAACAGGTGTTTTCCTCAGAAAATGTGACTCTGATCCAACTACCAACCTCCTCTGGTGAAATCAGCTCTTCATCTTGGGATTTTTTTGGACAAATGGGGTGGAGTGGATTGAATCCCAGAGCGTGGTTATCCTGTATATCCTCCTCCCAAATGATCCCAAATTTCCTTTATGAAGTTTTCTGCTGGCAATTACATCCTCCTTTTTAACCCTTTATCCACTGCCTCCAGCACCTGATTGCTTAGTTTTCTTGCCAGCAAATGATTTCACCCTCACAGGTTGGGAAAAAACTGGATCATCCCTCTGCCTCTTCCCAAATCCAGTGCTCTGCCAATCCTGGCACTGGCCCAGCATCACACAGCTGAAACCTGCAAATACTGGAAAACCACCCCCTGGAAAATGCTCAGAGCTTCGGTTACTGATGGCCTGGGAAGGGTTTTGTCACCAGCCTGGGACACTGGGACATCACCCTGCTCCTTCCCAGGGAACAGACATGGAACAGCCCAGTGCTTCCAGCTTTTATCATGGAATTCCAGGATGGTTTGTGTGTGAAGGGACCTTAAAGCCCATCCAGTTCCAACCCCTGCCATGGGCAGGGACACCTCCCACCAGGCCAGGAATGACACCTTGCAGAAAGCAGGGAAGAAAAGCAGCCAAGAAGCTGGAATGACACAGGAGGTGAGGGATGGATGTTACCCAGGAAAGCTGAGCATGGGGGAGACCTGTCAGGCAGCTGCTTGGACTGTGCAAGAATCCCAGAATCTCTGAGGTTGGAAAAGCCCTCCCAGCCCATGGATCCACCCTGGGCCCCATCCCCACCTTGTCCCCCAGCCCAGAGCACTGAGTGCCACGGCCAGGCCTTCCTGGGACACCTCCAGGGCTGGGCACTCCAAACCTCCCTGGGCAGCCCCTGCCAAGGCCTCCCCACCCTTTCCAGCCACAAATTCCTCCTCAGCCCCAACCTGACCCTCCCCTGGCCCAGCCTGAGGCCGTTTCCCCTTGGCCTGGCCCTTGTTCCCTGGCAGCAGAACCCGACCCCCCCCGGCTCCCCCCTCCTGGCAGGGACTTGCAGAGCCAGAAGGTCCCCCCTGAGCCTCCTTTGCTCCAGGCTGAGCCCCCCCAGCTCCCTCAGCCCCTCCTGCTGCTCCAGACCCTTCCCAGCTCCCTTCCCTTCCCTGCACACGCTCCAGCCCCTCCAGGTCTCTCCTGGCTGAGGGCCCAGAACTGCCCCCGGGATTCCAGGGGGGCCTCCCCAGTCTGGGAAAAAAAACCCCAATTTCTGACAAACACAAACCCTGATCCAGCCCCAGTCCCTGGGGGTGCCCTGGGTGAACCTCAGAGCCACAACCAACTCCTCGGAGCAAAGTTTTTGGAACAATTCCAGACCCAAACGGAGGGAATGGTGTGCCGGGGGGGCGAGCTGAGCTCGCAGAAGATGGTGTGAACATTCCCTGCTCCGGCTCTGCCTCGGAGCTGAGTCAGCCTGGGATGAGAAACCGGCGCTGAGATCACCCGGAACCGGGGCTGGATCTGCACCCCCAGGGAGGGCAGTTCCCACCAAACCCTGCTTGGGCACTTCCCAGTGGGAAGGAGCCTCAATCCCAGCCTGGAGAAGCCACAGGAGACCCGGTGTGTGGAGATGGAGAGGGAAGAGCAGCTGCTGAGTGCAGGTGATCCGAGATCAGCCACCCCCTCCTCCAGTACGGAATGGCAGCTCTGGGAGCACAACTCCATCTCCCACAGGAGGAAGAAAAGCACTTTGACACGAAAGAGGAGGCAGAAAATGAACAAAACAATCAACTCCAGCTCCCTGAGCAGAGCCGGGCAGGAGGACCCCGGTAATGCACAGAAATAAGGAAAAATTCCAGCTTTTTGGACACAGGGCCTGATGAGGATGCCCTGCTCTTGCTTTAGGCTTGGAAGGAGACAATAAATCACGAGTCAAATTGTGCAGAAAGGCTCTTCAAAACATTACAGAGAGAAATGTGTCACAACCCGGGCATTAAAAACTGAGCAGCCAGACAAGGCATCGACCCTGAGGAGATGCAGGAGGATCCCAAACTGAGAGGAAAGGGAGGCAGACACAGGCACAGGGAGGAGCCACCAGCACGATGCTGGACGTGGACCTGGTGGGTCCAGCTCCAGGCAGGTCCTGCAGTTGATCCTGAGCTCTCGAAATCGTGGGTTTGGTGCACAGGAGCAGCCAGAAAAGGCAACAAAAGCTACCAGGGAAGAGGTGGAAAGGGAGGTGGGACGTGTCACCGGGGGCTCTGCAGGTGCTGGGAGCTGCTCTGGTTCAGCATCTCCAGGAGGAAGAGGTGGGAGTGGAGCAGGGCCAGAAAAGGGCAATTAAAATGGTCAAGGGGATGGAGCAACTTCCCTACGGAGACAGGCTGGAAATATCAACTGCTGATGTGGCCAGTGCCATGGCATTGGAGTCTGGAAGGGACAAGGGCAATGGACCACCAGGAAATGGGATCTCCTTAAGTAATCTCCTTAATTAATTACAATTAATCTTGTAATGCCACTGTCACGGAGGGGGAACTGGGCTAATGGACCATCAGCTGCTCCCGGGGGACATTTCCCACTCAGTCTGATCCCTCCCAGCTGACCAGGATGTGAAGCTTGGAAGTCTGTCACAGGAGACAAAGTCCCCCTTCTCCTGACCATGATTCAGTTGGGTTTTTTTCAATCCTAGAATCCCGGAATCCCTGAGGTTGGAAAAGCCCTCCCAGCCCATGGATCCACCCCGGGCCCCATCCCCACCTTGTCCCCCAGCCCAGAGCACTGAGTGCCACGGCCAGGCCTTCCTGGGACACCTCCAGGGCTGGGCACTCCAAACCTCCCTGGGCAGCCCCTGCCAAGGCCTCCCCACCCTTTCCAGCAAGAAATCCTTCAATGTTCCTTTTCCAGCCCGAGCTCTTCTTTTTGGCACAGATTTGCAGGTGCTGGATGAGTTCCATGGATTCTGAGTCCTACGAGCCCCTCTGCTCTGGAGCCAGGCTGGGAGAGCTGGGGGGGTTCCCCTGGAGAAGAGAAGGCTCCAGGGAGAGCTGAGAGCCCCTGGCAGGGCCTGAAGGGGCTCCAGGAGAGCTGGAGAGGGACTGGGGACAAGGCAGAGAGAGACAGGACACAGGGAATGGCTTCCCAGTGCCAGAGGGCAGGGATGGATGGGATATTGGGAAGGAATTCCTGGCTGGGAGGGTGGGCAGGCCCTGGTCCAGGTTGCCCAGAGAAGCTGTGGCTGCCCCTGGATCCCTGGAAGTGTCCAAGGCCAGGTTGGACGGGGCTTGGAGCAGCCTGGGCTAGTGGAAGGTGTCCCTGCCCATGGCAGGGGTGGCACTGGATGAGCTTTAAGGTCCCTCCAACCCAAACCATCCTGGGATCCCATGTGGCACCTTGTCCATACCCTCATTCCATGTCTGTACAGAAGAAGCCTGACCTATTAATGAAGCACCTGAATCCCACATTCCCAGGAATAAGAAGTTCCTTGGAGGAAAAGAAGCCCTGAGGGCTGAATTGAGCTTGTCCTGCTCCAGAGCTCCGTTCTGGCCCAACACCAGGACAGGGCCACCAGCCAGGAGAAACACCTACCATGGCACAGCTCGGGGGCTTTGGGGGTAAATCTTCACCAACGGGAAGAGAACAGAGTGCTCTGGAATGCCAACCTCAACATTCCAGCCTGGAGAGAGGCTGCAGGATGACCCAGGTCCCAAGATGCTCCTGCTGAGAACCTGAGCCCTGAGCTGTCTTTCCCAGCCCTCCCAGTCACTCCCATTCCCTGGGCACAGGATGTACTGGTGCAGAAATGGGATTTCACTACAATCCGTGGCTGTGCTTATCCAGGGAATCTCTGCCCATGTGCTGAGACCTGCACTGAGCTGCCTCCCTCCAGACTGGTGACAGAATTCCATACCCACGCTCTGGAATTCCGTCCCTCCCCGGCTGACCAAGGCGGATTCCTTGAGCCTCAAACCATTTTCCAGCTGGTGA